TTGAGGTCGACGGCGATCGAGGCCTTGTGGCGCGCGAGGATGTCTTCGGTCGGCAGGGGCTTCCCCTTGCCGTCGGCCTGGGGCACAGCGCGGTCGATGCGGAGGACGCTGGCGCCGGCATCGGCGAGGAGCATGCCGGCAAAGGGGCCAGGTGCCAGGCCTGCAAATTCGAGGACCTTGAGCCCGGTGAGAGGTGGCGGGCCAATCATGGTGGCGTCTAGAAGGTCTGGTGCCTTTGTGTGTTTGGCTACTCGATATTCGCAGCTCAGGTCGATGCTTCAATGGTTTTCGTCAATGGTGCCTGTCAATGCAGCAGGCTATCCGCAAGTTCGGTCACATGGTTGGTGATGATGGTGATGCGAGACAGCCTCTTCTTATGACGCGGAGTTGGATATCCGTTGGGATGAGGAGGCTTGGGGGGGGGATGGGCGAAATGCCGAGGATGCGTGCGGATCGAGGAACAGGGGAAGTGAGGGGAGGGAGGGGAGGGAGCTTGGGCCTGCTGAAGCTCGCTCGGCTGGACACGTGCCCCGCATTGATGGGGAGCCTCGCCGCTGGGGCCTCGCCGCTGGGGAGCCTCGCTGCTGGGGAGCCTCGCTGCTGGGGAGCCTCGCTGCTGGCAGGTACTTGGGCTACCCCCACATCGTGCAGCAGGTTCGAGTACCCGCGAGCACGTGGGGACGAATCCCAGATCCTTACATACCTTAGGTACCTTAGGTAGACAGGTAGGGAGTGAGCTCCTGACAATGGATTCGGCAAGGGCTGCTTCTGTTCTACGACCGAGTCGTTCTCATGCCGAACCCCTGTTGGAGGGTTCAGGGCCATTGTAAATCAGGAGGCAAGCTTGGCTTGCGACTATGAGCCTTGCTGTGGTGTCGCAACGCGCGGTGCACTTGATCTCACAAACATACAGCAAGTTGAAACGACCATTGGCTGAGATTGAGTGTACCCTCAGACGCCCGGGCGACGCAGTTGGCCTTGCATATTCTTCTATATTCAATTTTCACCGTTCTCTATGTACATGTACCGATTGCCCATCTCAAAAGATTTTGACTGGCTCTCCAAGCTTGAGCCAGATGACATGCCCATGAACACCAGCCTCCTCGAAAGCATTCGTCAACTCCTGTTGATATTGCGTGAAGTGGTCCCAACCGTCGAAGTGCATGGGAATGATCCAGTCGGCCTTGATGGCGCGGAACAGCTGGGCTGCGTCCTTACCACCCATGGTGATCTGGGTTTTCGGGGCAGGCTCAGGCTCAAATTGGAAACGAGCATCGCCAATGTTCATAATGGCGGCCGCGATATGAAATTTGTCGGCCATCGCAGGGAGCTCATCCGTGTACACGGTGTCGCCGCTGAAGTATAGGGCGTTGGGACGACCGTCGGGGTGTTTGCCAAAGGACTCGGTCGTGAGGATGAAGCCGGTGCATTCGTCGCCGGGAACGTGGACGGCGGGCGTAGCCGTGATGCGGAACGTCTTGCCGCCCAAGGCAATCGTGTTTTCCTGCCACGGCCGCATGCCGACGACGCCTGGCCGAGGAGCCAGTTGCTTAGCACCGTCCATCGTGGTGAATACATGACGGCCGTCGAGGAGCTGGCGGCCGAGCTCGTCGAGGTTATCCCAGTGATCTTCGTGGCTGAGTAGGACGGCGTCGATAGGGGGAAGATCTTTGAGGGTCAGAGCGGGTTCGTCGTGATTGAAGAGCTGGTACCCGCGCTCTGGGTGTTGATAGGAAGTTTTAGCCGGCGCGAAGAAGGGATCGGTCAGGAACTTGACACCGTCGATCTCAAGAATAGCGGTCGCCGTGCCGATGAAGGTCATGCTGACGCTGCTGTTGAATCCTGAGCAAGTAGGCATGGCTGCGGTGTGGGTGGTGTTTCGTCTGTTAGGGTGCTTGAGTCAACTGATCTGAGGAAAACTGGATGCACTGCTTTTTTGGAATCGGGAATTTAGACTGGTTAATATAGCATTCAATGTAACCCGAGAACTTCTCAACGAAAGCATTCCTAGCTTCTCGTTCGTTCGAACTGAAAACCTTTCGTCGGACACGCCGCGCGAGCTTGCTAAGCCTTATCAACCATCGGCAAGATGAACTTATTAAGCTCGACCCTGCGAAATGCCAGACACGACGTAATGAGATGCCCTAGTTCGTCGCCGGATCTCCATCGTAGTTGTTGACGCTGGCGATATTACTTACACACGTCACAGTGGTTCGCGGGTTTAGTTACTATAGTTGGCCTAGTCTCTAATCCGAACCACACGAGCACAGCACTTCTGCAACTGACAAATCAAACTATCCTTTACAAAGCCAGAGCCAACCGTAAGCATCGATTTTATTTTCCTCAATTGGAACCTCTCTCTCGCTAAAATCAGTTAGGGAGGGAATTCTTTGGCGCTCGCCCCTTTGACTAAGAAGACGACTGATTCCGTATAAAACATCAGGAGCCTCTTCTTGCAGCTGAATTTTGGTATCAGAATGTCACGATAAACCTTAATACCTTTATGATATCCTCTGTAATCTACTTCCCAAGAAAAAACATCATCGAGCCCTCCCCTTGGTCGTACTACAGTTTATCACATCGGATGCGACTTTGACACTGCCCGAATAACCTTTCGCAAATAACTTAGTAGACCTGACGCGAAATTCTCACCAAAAATGTCTTTAACGACCGAAAAGAGTGGAAATGAAAACGCCCAAGACATACTGACCCACGACGAACCATCGATCGAGAGCGCGCCGTTAGGTCCCTCTGGAAATTCTGAAACTCAACCACCCGATGGTGGCCTTTGGGCGTGGTTGTCTGGTACGCAATCTTATTTAGCCTGACATCTGCTGCGGGGAATTTCTTTTAACATCGGGTCGTAGTTGTGTCAGGCTTCTTCGTCATCATGAACACCTGGTCAGTATTCATTTCTCGTCTTCACTTGCCAGCTGCAACGGCTGAATGAGAACAGGGGAGTCTTCATATCCTTTGGTGTCTTCCAAACCTACTACGTCACGGCGCTTGGACGGTCTTCTTCTGAAATCTCGTGGATTGGATCTTTCGAAGTCTTCCTGCTCTTCTTCGTGGGCAGTATAGCCGGGGCATTGACCGACGCAGGGTACTTCCGGAGCACCATGACAGCAGGTAGTCTGCTCGTTCTTATCGGGACCTTCATGACATCAATATCCAAAACCTACTGGCAGGTGTTCCTTGCGCAAGGCGTTTGCACAGGCCTAGGCAACGGCTTGATGTTCACTCCGACCATGACGGTCATCTCGACCTACTTCACGGGGAAGCGAGCCGTGGCCTTGGCTATTGCAGCCTGCGGTAGTACTGTCGGCGGTCTCGTTTTTCCCAGCATGGCTAGAACGCTACTGCCGACGATTGGTTTCGGTTGGACGATGCGGGCCATTGGACTTATCCAGCTGGTGACGTTGACCGCAGCCCTGGTTGTCGTCCGGCCTAGGGTAACACCTAAGATCGGAGGGGCGTTCTTCGACTGGAGCGCTTTTATGATCCCTGAGTACAATTTATTTGCCGTTGGATCGTTTATGGTAATTTCAGACTCTACGCCGTTACCCCTGTTCTATATGATATCAAAACTGACTTCAATCCACAGGTTTACATTGGACTCTTTTTTCCAATCTTCTACCTGGCGTCATATGCTCGCAGCGCATTGGGTTTGGAGTACACCCAATCTCTCAACCTGATTCTGGTTTTGAATGGTGTCGGCATCGTCGGTCGTCTCGCCCCCAGCTTCATCTCTCCGATCATTGGCCCTCTCAATCTCTTCGTCGTGCACGTGGTCGTCACGTCTCTGGTCGTCTTCCTGTGGGCCCCGGTGACGACCGTCGGAGGGTTGTATGCTTGGACCGTGTTCTTCAGCCTATCGATGGGCGGGATACAGTCGCTTGCGCCTACTGCGCTGGCTTCTGTAAGGTTCGACCCACAGAAGCAAGGCACGCTTCTTGGCATGGTCAATACCGTGTCTGGTTTCGGTGCTCTCATCGGACCAGCAGTCTCAGGGACGTTGATCAAAGGCGGGGTTGATTACTTGAATGCCCAAATGTTTGCTGCAAGCTGTATGGCCGCTGGAGCAGCTGTTTTGGTCCTCGCGCGTGAGACTAAGAGGAGGAAGGCGTCCCTCGGGTTTCGATCTAAGCTTTAGTCTGTGGATTTGGTCTTTCGGTTGGTTTGGGTCCTTCGTTTGCGTTTATACACGCGTGTCATTTGGCGCTTGATTTATGGATTCGGCATAGAATAGACCTAGACGAGAAGATATAAACTGTGAACACATAGACATAGGATGTTTAGTCTGGTGTTGTTAGCATCTTATCTTATGAAAGGCGTTAAAACATCTTAGAGACTTGATTCTAGACTGAGGATATTTGCAACTGCAGATTTCAGATCATGGTCTGAGCGGTGGTCGCTGGGTTATTGGCACTGGTATGGATAGGATGATAAGATTACTGAGGGAGTCAATAGAGCTACCACTGACGAATGACTTCATCAATCGTAGTAGTCACGCTGAATACCCTTGTCCTCGTACTGACGACTCCTGCTATATTTCCCCCTAAGATTCGGCTCACCCCGTACGCAAAGTTCTGCTTCAAAGACTTGAAAATGCGAAGTTTCCCCTTTCGAGATATCCACTCTCGTCGCAGGAGCCTTGGGCCATGCGCTGAGTCATCTTCCTTAGCTCTCAAAAAAGGTGTCCCCGGCTCATCCCGCGCGGAGGCAGAACATTCTTATAGGTCTGTGATGTCTACATACCCAATGTGACGGTCACAATTGAAATTCACTTGTGGGGCATGGCCGCTAAAATGACAGCAGTCATGTCTGTCTCCATCTAGTTCCCTTCCTGCCCACGGCGCCCCGGAACGGGACTAGACGAGAAATGGTCAACATAAACCTTAGTCATCGTGCGGGGCTTCAGTACTTCTTTGCCGGACAGTCATCTTATGAAGACGGAGCTCTTTATTACACCATGAAGCATCTACAGCCTCAATTCCACCATGACGGCGCCGCAGGGTTGTTGGACGTGCAAGAGTAAGGAGTTGTGGGCCCCCTACCGCAGTCCGCCTGCAACACCAGTCTAAAACACTGACTTTGCTGCTAGACCGCAAAATTGGTTGTGACAGGACAATTCCTCATTGTAACAACTGTGTTCGAACAAAAAGGCAATGTGCAGGCTACGGGATTCGATTGGTCTGGCCTGACGAGCCTTGTGCCAGGCGTGGAGAACTCATCTTATGCCATGTGGCAAACGCCGCGACTCCCCATGATTACCCTCAAGACAATTACTGCAGATTCTTGAACTTCACCTGGATGGACTTTTGCCTGAAGGAAAAGCGCCTTACTTGGCGTCAGTTCATAGAGCGAACATCTGCAGGGCCGCTGCATTCCCTGTCGCTCCATTCACCAATCGTTGGCGAAGATGCCATGCTTTTAGCGTATTGTCTGTAACCTTTGGCAAACTGTGTCCGTTCTCCAGCTCACATGCTATAGATCAGCAGATCATAGCCCCCATGTGCTCAACAACTCGGGCGAGGAATGGCTTCCATGATCAGATCCTGCCGGTGGTATTGTCCTGTCGAGATGGGTCCGCGACAGCTCTGTGCAGCTCTTTGCTAGCCATCTCTGCATATCATCACCAAGGACCAGGTGCCGCGCTGAAATATAAGATAAGTGCAATCAAGTGTCTCCATGAGTCACTGGCGGCGTCATCAAGATTTGGTTGCAACGCAGATGCAGAGGCACAGCTAGCTACTACTATGATGCTGTGCATGTACAGCGTAAGCCGGATTTCGATAAACCAAAAGGGCATTCGCAGCTAACAGTGTTCAGGTCTTTGACGAGCAGGAAGCTCAGTTTCACTTGCACCTCGACGGCGCGAAAAAGATGTTGCGCGGCCTACAATCGCATCAGCAGCAGCGCCCGATGTCCGATTTTCTCATGAACTGGGTAGTCTACTACGACGTTCTTAGTAGCTTCGCTCAACCTTCCCGAGGTAGTCGGGGAGATTTGCGCGTGTTAACTTACTCAAGCAACTTACAACCCACGTCAAACTTGGTCAGTTTGATTCTAACGCTCCGGAGCTTGGCTGACTTGCATCAAGATCATTGGCCTGTTCGGATGCTCCACCGATGTTTTCAGTAGCATTTCATTCATCAATCAAATGCGCATGGCGTTGTCGGACTCAAGCGTAAACCCCGATCCGGGTGAACAGTCACAACAGCGAATGGCTTTGGAAGAGAGGTTGCGAATGGCCTCCCAGCACCTCAGCCCCGATGAAGCGGCCAACTCTACAACTGTGCAGATCAAAGATGCTTCGGCGACTGCCGAACTATATCGATTGGCAGCTCTATTGTATCTCCAGCGCGTCGCTCCCGCCCCCGGTGACGACATGCGAAGCGCTGTATACTTACAACAGATTTTTGCAGCGTTGAGAACGGTCCGGGTGGCAACGAGCCCCTGGCCAGTTTTTATCACCGCTTGCGAAGCACGCACAGAAGATGAACGCGTTCAAATCCTCAGAGTCTTGGAGCGAATGGACGAAATTCGAAATGTTGGGAATGTTCGCGTTATGCGAAGCCTCATCGAGTCAATATGGAAGCAGCAGGACCTACGGGATTCATCCGGTAAATCCGAGGCGATGCAATGGTGGCTTCGCGTTGATGGTGAGGTTCCAGCTCCCTGGTTTGCATAATGCCCAGACCCTCAGCAATTAGAGGGCCATTGACCCAAGGTATCAGTATTCCGTCCGCATATGATCCAGTCGCACGGTATGCGGAATGACGGGCAAGAAACCCTACTAAAAGAAGCTCGGCTTGGACTCATTGGCTGATGTATTATGGGATAAGTCGGAGAATCGCCTGGTTTCCGCGAACTATCAATATATTGGGGTTCGTAATGAAGGAGGTCATAAAGGATGAGCTTACGGCGGCAGTGGAGGATACTTACCTTAGATTGTACAGCTTCAGGGCACAATGACGCCCCGATGAAGCCGCTTACGGTGGTGGGATTTGAGTAGCCTGATTCATCGGCGAACATGGGCGACCAGGTTCTGCTCTTGAGGCCGGACGCGATAATTCGAGACTGCCTGGACAAGACAAGAAGACTTTAGCAGTGGAGCTTGGTACTGGAACCAAACGCGGATGTCGGTGGTGAGTCTTCCTGATGCCACAACTTATTTCATCCCTAACTAATATTAAGAAGAATACAAACCAGTGATTATCCCCTCATAATTGAGGCATAAGACGTGGCGTCTATTTTCCACATGTTGACAGGCCTCTGGGCCTTATTTGGTGGCCTGTCCGGGGGATTATGCACTGCCCTTGTCATGCTCTAGATTGGACCTATCGTGAGCCTAGGCGCCGGCGATATGCAATCCATCATTGGCCTACGCAGCCGAGCATCTATTTACGTCGCGTGAACGTTCTATTCGGGTCAGCATCGCACCGGCGGCTTGCATGCGAGTATTTATCTCAAAGGTCGTCGCACTGATCCGTCACACTGATCTTTCTGCGTTTAACGCTGAGCTGCAACAACGTCGCATTCAATCCTAGGTACCGACAGGTGCATCTGGTTGCTTCAGGTTGCATTGAGCGGCGATAGATCTCTCAAAAGCAGTATCCAAGATTTGTGCACAACGCCAGTCATGAAGGTGAGTTCTCACCAGCTTGCCCTGTGAATACCTACTGATGCGAGGGTAACGCGCCTCATGCTGCAGTTATTCCTCTTTCTCTCCGCCGTCCTCTGGGCCCTCTGCATCAGCGCCCAGACCCAGCTCACCCAATTCCAAGCCTCTCAGCGCTTCAAGGCCGCGGGCATCCTCTGGCGCTCTACGGGTGCCTGTACGACCAAGTCCAACCCAAGATGCACGTCCTTCTCCGGCATCCGGGCAACGACGGTCGCTGGCGCCATCACACTGAAGAAGGCGTGCAAGTGCAGCCTTATCATTACTAGCGGCACCGAGGTCGGCCACCCAACGGGCAAGTACTCTCACAGCACGGGGCATAAGCTCGACTTTGCCAAGAACGCGGCCCTCAACCGATACGTAAGGGGCACGTTCACGAGGATCTCGAACCGCTCTGATGGCGCGAGCCGGTACAAAGCTCGTTCCGGGAACATCTATGTGGTGAGTTGCTTGAACTTGCTTGGGGATTCGAGTGCTGAAGCGGATTTAGGACGAGGGGAACCACTGGGACGTGACATTCTTCACAGACGGGAGTTAGCTGAAAATTTGAAGATAAGGCATCGATTATTTCGCATCAACGGCTGGAGGCCCGGAGCTTTTTTTTTTTTTTGGAATGTCCTGGGGTTCTAAATGACCTGTAGTGCCATGTCTTGATGGCTGGTAGATCCAGAGGAGGATTCCAGATAGCCGACACAGCCTGACCGCGTCTCTTTGAAGGAAGTCGAAGGCAATACTGATTGGGAACCCCTTGCTGGAAAATATGAGGCTATAACGATCGCGAATGCATTCGTCGTCCGTGGTAGAATGTGACCAGACCAGCCACGTGTCAGCCGTGAATACTTCCATGCAGCTGCGATTGGTTGCGACGTTCCCGTATGGCCGGAGCCTGCTCGACAGAGTTGCCGCCGCCACAGAGGATCAGGCTGGGAGCCTTCTTGGCACACCCAGCTGAAAATGTGCTCGAGAGCCTCAACACAAATATAAATACTCAGATGGGCCCTGATCGGGACATGTGCCACATTACTAGCCTTACTTCCAAATACGAGCAGCCTCTATGACGGCACAAACAGCACAGATGCCTCCTCCGAGGTCAAATTGGCTTGAGCCATGGAAAAGGGTTGGTCGTGGCTGTATTGACATCACCACAAGATATGCCAGAGCCATTCGCGCCATTGGCCTTGAGATAATCACAATCCGCAAAGGGCCTGAGCCGCCAAAGAGCCTTTTTGTACTTTCGCGCAAAGCAGCCCTCGCACGTTGCATAGTGCACCTACTGCCAGCAATGATATCAATCATACTCATCTCCATCAACTTGATGGGTTACTTTATCGGCACACGCCTCCAGGGTTGGCGGGGCTCTGACAGCATCAAGCTGGGGGTTCTCCAGCTCTGTGCGAAGGTGCAGGAGCTACTCATCGTGGCTAGTCTATCGACAGTTATCTTCCATGTGGTGAGGTCGGAAATGACATTTGGGCCAGGTATTCCGTTGGGGTGGCTGGGCGCTGGGTTTCGCTTCACAACGCTGAGGTGAGAGATTAACACAGAATCCGAATCAACTCTTGCTGACCGATTCCTCAGCTACCTCTGGTCATCCGACCTCTGGGGCTCCATCAGATACAAGCATGCATCTGTACTTCGGAAATTCGGATTGGTCCTACTGTTGTTCGTGTCCGGAATAATCACCGTCCTTGCTGGTCCAAGCAGCGCTGTCCTGATGGTTCCTCGAGTAATGGATTGGCCGGCAGGCGGGGGCAGATTCTGGCTCAATGGTATTGTTGACCGTCTGGCCCATTCTTTCCCAACAGGCATACTAAATTTTGATAGGATCACAGGAAGACATGTGGCCACATCAGCCGTTGCCCGTCCCCTTGAGCGATTGCCCCAAAACCGATCCTGTAGCTCAGAAATGCCTCGCTCATGGCTACCATTCGATCTACAACGTGTTTCGAAACCGCCAGAGAAGATTTGTCAACGACCTGATCTCGTTTGAACTGGAAGATTCACGTATCAGGAAGAACGTTCATGCAAGGCTCCGCCTCAACGGCCAATACGTTATCGACACGTGGGCCATCACAGCTCACACGCCCACTGCGACGACTCAAGCAGCATGGCATACTCTTTGGGGCAGTGCCTTGCAATACTTGAGGGACACAAAACCAGCCGGCATCGTTCATCCAGATCCTGACTTGCTGAGTTACGGCGACACCAGGATCGCCGTTGTTGAGACAAAGATCCCAGCGGTTCGGATCGTTTGCAACGAGTGGTTGGGAAGCTTTTCCACACAACAAGAAAGCTTTGAGGTCCTCGGGTCGTTCCCCATGTATCCAGGCCACGGCCGCCCAAGATATCTGGACGAAGGGGGGACTGCATGGACAAATCTTTCCCATATTGACATGACTGACCCGGTAAGGGCTCGGCTGAGCCAAGGAAATGGCCCAGGGGTTTTCGCTGTCGCCGTGGACTTGCCCACTAATGACAAAGGACTCGACTATCTGGGTGTTTTCCTCTTCCGCCTTGCGGCTGACGAAGTCCAATCATGGGAGACCATGAGCTGCACCATCGACTCTTGGTGGGCAGCTGGCAAGATGACTGTCGACCAGGACTATCGAGCTATCAAGTATAATTTTGCCGCCGACCAGGGCCACATTCTTGTGGACAGTGAGGTAGGCACAGAGGACTTTAGGTGGCGCGACTTCACTGCACCAATGGACGGCTCGTGGGAACGCGTGGGTTTATCGAGCGCTTGGTTTGATGATCTTGGGGCCAAGGTGCCTGTTAGTCCAAATCAGCCCAACGACACGTCAGTCACCACTGTCGAGAGTATCCTGAATCTCGCTATTTCCGATACTCTTCAAGGATGGGACGCCCTCCAGGCTACGGAGCTCGCACTTGCTGTTCTTGTCGTCGATGGATTGTCCCGATCATCAAGCTTCATGACGTCGAATTACAGCGCCATGCTGGAGCCGCTCGTGTCACACCCGTGGACAGCCGAGACTGCGAAAAAGCTGGTGAACTTGAACAAACCTAAAACAGCTTTCAGTCCCGAAAGCGCCAACGACATGGTTAGCGTAAAGCTTCAGATGATCCTCCCAGGTTACGCAATGTCAGCTCGAGGATGGTTCGATCGCCTCTGCATGGCAATCTTGATGGCCCACGCCGTCATTGCGCTGGGTCACACATTGTGGGTGCTTTGGCATGGGGAAACGAGCGACGCATGGGAGAGCATGACTGAATTGATCGCTTTGAGCTTGGAATCAGACCGCCCAAGCAGCATCAACGAGCCCGGACTTTCAAACACGTCGGCCGGCGTAAGGACATGGGCGCCACTGAAGGAGGTTGGATGGGTTGAGGCTATTGATCAGCCAGTAGTTGCGACGGCCGGCGGTTCTCCCGTGCCAGGAAAGCACCTCCAACTAAGATTTGGAAAGAGCAGAACCATGGATCATCACGCGAAGAATCCGATCTGCGTGCCGAAAGCAAAAGTCGAGTACTATTGAACAACGTGTCGAGAATTGATTTTTTGATGCATCTGTTGCGCTGTTTACCGTGTGAGGCTAGAAGGCATGAAGCTGTCGCCGGAGTACATGACCGTCGCCGTACCCACTTTCTTCGTGGTATCTGGTCTAGAGTCTCGAGAGCTTGAGATGTGGAGGAGTATGTGGTTGATGGTATTTGATAAGTGATTTAGAGAACTACACAACGTTTTGGTTGGTGGAAGTGAGACTGGACAAATAGAATGGATTGGTTACGTTGGCAGGAACATGAACTACAAGTGGGCGGCATCACGTGCTAGTGATGTCTATATTACGCCCGATCTGTGCTACGCCCAAGCCCTGCCAGGCCAAGTAGTAGACCAGGGTTGATAGCTCTTTGCTCACCCTACTCCACCCTGAGCTCAGGTTAAAGCGGCAACATCTCAGGTTCCACATTCAACGCAGCTTGGGGAGCGAAAGCCTGTTGAGGATGACTATAGAAGAGCCAGAAATGGAATCGGCTTCGCAAATCTTGTCGGCATCCATGGCGCCAGGCCAAGCACATTGGCCCAGAACAAGCTAGCAAGCTGCATCACGGAGCCACACTGAAGGTTGCTCCAAGCACAGCTCAAGTATAAGAACTGCGAATTCCCAATACTCATTATGTTCTTGTTCACATCACACTTTGTCATTTGCCTATTTTTCTTTCACATTCTCAAAAGCTTCAGATCACATCATGTCATCTCTTCCAGCCATCGATGCTCCGGATCACATCCTTGAACTCCTGTCCGAGCTTCACCAGAAATCCCTGGAACAGGAAGCGGCCATTTCTAGAAGTGGGAAGAAAGTTTTCTCTTCCGAGGTCATTGGCGACCTCGAAGATCAACACGTTCATGCAAATGTTGCGAGCGAATTCGACAAGCTCATGCTCGATAAATTCATTGCTTTGGACGAAGACAAATGCCAGTTTACGTACCAACTCATCAATGCGATGGGAGCTACCAACATTGTCGAAGCCGGAACTAGTTTCGGCGTCAGCACCATCTATCTTGCTCTTGCTGTTGGTAAAACAAAAGCCGCCACAGGAAAGACTGGGACTATCATCGCGACCGAAAAGGAGACGCAAAAGGCAGAAATTGCGCGCAAGTACTGGGCACGCTGCGGCCCGACAGTCGAACAAGAGATTGACTTGAGAGTGGGCAATCTGCTTGAAACCCTGAAGGAAGGGTTGCCGCAGGTTGACCTTTTGCTCCTTGACAGTGAGTCTCGCTTTGCTATGATCCAAAAACAGCCCTTTGGGTCTCGCTGACTTATGAATAGTCTGGTCGGCCCTCGCTCTCCCGACACTCAAGGTCGTCCTGCCCCGCCTGCGATACGGTGCAGTCATCCTGACAGACAATACGATATCTGGCGCTGAAGGATACAAGGACCTACTGGCATATCTGCGAGAGCCGAGGAATGGGTTTCGCAATCTGACCCTCCCCTATACCAACGGGTTTGAGATGAGTGTTTATCTGCCCGTAGCGGAATGACCACAGCGCACGACGACTGGATGAAGGAGTCAGCCCTCACGCGACCATGGTTGCGTTTGTCATTGCCCGAGGCAGCGTAATACACTAGGTAGACAAGATCTCAACGTGAGTCATTGGAGTGAGTCGCTGGAGGAGAACCGATCGCATCCGCCTTCCTTACGTAGAAAGCTAGAGTGAATTCAACCTAGCGGCTTGTCAAGCTGCACAGCGGGGCTGATCGCATTTGCCTTCCTTATCCCTTTTCGCTTCGTCTCAACGTATTGCTTGAGTCATGCCACACAACTTCTCCGGCTTCCAGAGCTGTCCCCCCCCGTGTGGACGGTGAAGAGAGCGATGCAAAGAAAGCCTTCTCCGAAAGCTCAAACCATTCAGTTGACCAAAAAGACGCAAACTCAAGGAGCTCCACTTCTGGCGAAGAAGAAGATGATTTGCGATCATTGTAACTTTAGCGCTGCATGGCTCGCACGTTCACCATATAATAAGCCAAGCCTCCCTCGGTGCCGTTTTTCTTTTTCTTGATTTGGTTCTGCAAGACCAATCGAACATCATTTCCAACCATGGCTCCCATGCCTCCGCCCCTAGCTCCTACAATTCTGGATACCATTGGTAATACACCTGTTGTGCAGCTCAAGCATGTCGTTCCGGAAGGCTGCGCCGATGTCTACGTCAAACTCGAGTACATGAACCCCACAGGCTCTTACAAAGACCGCATGGCCAGATCCATGATTGAAGAAGCCGAGCGTCGCGGAGAGCTCAGACCCAACATGACGGTTATTGAAGCTACAGGTGGTAGCACCGGGTCGTCTTTGGCCTTTATCTGCGCCGTCAAAGGGTACAAGTTCCTGGCTCTATCGTCCGACGCGTATGCAAAGGAGAAATTGCGAACGATGTTTGCATTCGGAGCAGCGGTCGACGTCACACACAGCCCCACAGGGCAAGCGACGGCAAGCCTGATGATATCGATGAAGAACAGGGCCGCAGATCTCGGGTCGACCGACGAGTATCTCCATACTGATCAATTCAGCAATCATGACGCACTCATCGGATACGCGGAGATTGGCCATGAGCTAAACAGCCAATTTCCGGACGGCTTCGACGTCTTCTGTGGTGCGTTTGGAACAGCTGGCATGGCTATGGGCGTGTCCAAAGCGATCAGATCTCAGAACCCAAATGTTCGAGTTATCCTGCTTGAACCCAGCTCAGCGGCTTTGTTGGCTACAGGCATGAGCGGCTCGCATGGCGTTGACGGCATCGCACCCGGGTTCATCTCGGTCCACATCGATAAAGAGTTGTATGACGAAGTCCGCACAGTGGATGAAGAGGCTGCTCGTCGCATGTGCCGCCAGCTGGCCAGGGAAGAAGGTCTTTTGGTTGGAACATCATCGGGCCTGAATGTCCTTGCAGCAATTCAGCTCGCTAAAGAATTGGGGGCGAACAAAAAAGTCGTTACAGTAGCTTGCGACACTGGATTGAAGTACCTGGCGGGCTCTCTGTTCTCAGATGAGTAAGGGTTGCGTCGGGCAATCGTGTGCACTTTCTCCGCAAAACAAGTTTATTCCAACGTGTTATTCCGGCGTCCTCCCATTTGTTATTCGAGTCTTCGCAAAAGTCAGGATGGTACATAGAGTGTAAATCCTGGTGGTTGCGCCTTGTCGTATTGCCCCTCCTCATGTCCAGTTTTTTAGAGTCTTGATTCCCATGTCATCTCTGAGCTGGCGCAAGCTCTTCATCCACCACATTGCCGCTATACTGAAAATATCCATCATAATGTGCTTTGTTATTTACTTGAATCCTCAAACGAGATTTTCGAGGTATCTTTGGCAAATATTAGGCAGTCTACGCCTCGGTGTTCATTCCCTTTGCTTTTCAAATCCGCAAAGCATTCCATTTCATCCAATGGATTACAGCGGCGACGCCAACAGGCGGGGCTTGATCGCAAAGTCCTTCCTCATCTGTGCGGCTAATACGGGGTATGACACAGCAATGGAGAATCCAGAGAGTGTCACGGGAGACTGGGTATATAACACTATGTAACCACCTCGTGCCCAAATATGTATTAATAACTGATGGCTCGAAAGCTCCAGAGTTTTCAGGCATACTCACCCATCGAGGCCGATCCGACACCGAACCATGACTGAACCAGCCCCAGACCTGAGCGGCAATCCAACTGAAATTCAATGTCCAAAGTGGTGAGCAACGTGGAGAATCACCTCAGATACGTCTCATCAAGTTACTGATAGAAACGCAAGGAGATACTTAACAGTCATTCTGGCCGCATTTATGATCAATTTCACGGCCTGCGGTATACTCTTTGGTTTTGGTGTCTACCAGGAGCATTACGAAACCATGGTGCTTCGAGAAGGGAGCCCCTTCACTGGGGCCTCTTCGGCTACAATAGACCTCATAGGGACGCTTTCAGCGTCGCTCATGACAGTAACGGCTCCGTTTGTCATGGCATGGGTCAAATATTTCAAGCCTCGAAACGCCATATGGGCTGGCGGCATCCTCTTTGGTGTCGCGAGCGTTCTGGCGAGTTTCGGCAAGGTCCTGTGGCACTTTCAGCTGGCTCAGGGATTGCTGCTCGGAATCGCGACAGGGCTTTCGTTTGTCCCGTCTATGACCATTGCACCCACATGGTTTGACAAGCGAAGGGGCTTAGCGATGGGTTTTATTTCTGCTGGCACTGGCATCGGCGGCTTGGTCTGGGCACCAACAATCTCAGCATGTATCAACAACATCGGCTTCCGGAATACCCTGCGACTGACGGCATGCCTGGCTACCACGATTATTTGTATTTCTGGGTCGTTCCTTGATTGGGAGCCGAGCATGGCGAATCATCTCGCCGCCAAAAACAAGGCCCTATCCCCTGTTACAGCACTCTTTAACATTCCCCTTCCCGACTGGCAGACTGCGAAGCGGCCAAAATTTATTCTGCAAGCTGCCAGCACTATATTCCAAAGCGCTGCTTATTACACGCCGGTCTTCTTCACAGTCCTTTATGCTAAATCACTAGGCTACGACGAGAGAGAGGGGGCAAACTTGACAGCGTTGAGTAATGCCTGCAATGCTGTCGGCAAGATTGCGGTGGGGTTCATCTCGGATCGAGTTGGAAGACTCAACTCGTTCTTTCTAACGACATTGCTTACTGCGATAATCAGCCTGGGTTTATGGGTCCCCAGTACACTTGTCGCAACCGTCGACGAACCAACAGCGAGGAACCTGTTCATCAGCTTTACCGTCCTATACGGATTGTTTGCTAGCGCATTCATCAGTCTGTTCCCAGTGGCGTTGATTGAGCTGTTTGGGGTTAAGGAGATTCCTCGCATGGGTGGAGTTTTCTACATGCTGCAAGGGTTAGCCACGCTTGTGGGCACTCCTGTCGCTGGCGTACTAGTTCCGGGCCACGGTGTGCCGAGAGACGCCAACAGTTACACGCCTGTAGCAGTTTTGGTGGGAGCATTGATGGCTGTGGCAGCTGTGTCTGTGGCTGGAGTTAGAGCCGAGGCGACGAGGGTACCCGGGCATGGCCTCTGGAAGTGGAAGTGGAAGTTGTAAACAGTTCTCATGCAGGAAAACTCTTCCATTGCACCATTCAATCTAAAGTAATTATCTCGTATTATGCTAACTGTGAAAATTTCAGATAATAAATTGTAAAGAATCTGTGCATCTTGACCTAGATTGGCTACTTGGATAGGTGGTCCATAACAAACATGAGCCAGTGTAAGTTCAGGACGAGATATCACGACACCATTTCAGTCACAAGAGGTCAAAAAGGGTGTTTACTCATCCAGATGCGTTAGGCATCATCAGGACTAGACGAAAACTCCTCGATTATTGCTACCAACATTTGCATGAGAGTGTAATTGCTGAAGAGTGAGCAATTCGCCTCAGGAAACAACCTATCTCCAGGTACTCCATGCACCGGTGAGACCTATGCTACTTTATGCTGCTAGTGGTATTAAGAACAGAGGTATGTTCGTCCATTCCGGACCTCGCTCATACTGTGTGTCTCGCGGAACACAGGACCAGAAATCCATGGTTTAAGTGAAGTATTGGATTGTTCGATAATGACTGAGCAAGATAGATACAGACAGCAAGCTAAGATCACAAGAAAGAGAGATTTCCTCAACCAAGTTTCACTACCTAGGAACCCTAGGCCTCTCCCATGGCTGCTACCACCCAGCACTTGCAAAGACATGCGCACGGCACAGAGGCAACAGTATGTTGCATAACGAAAGAACGTTCCATAATGATCGAATGACTCTTTGCTCAAGGTACAAGACCATTGAGGTAATCAGCCATGGAGTTGAAGTCCTCGGGCGAAAGGTTTTCGTATCGAATGCAGCCTTCACCGCAATTGATACCAGTGCCAGCTTCAGGGTCCCCGGCCAGATTGTCGTTCATCATGACACAGACGGGGGGGAGGCCGTCCATCTGGATCCAATTGTGCTCGCCTGAGATTACAACGTGGGCAGCAGTAACAGTGTCCCAGAAGCAGAGGTCCCACTCGTACTGGCTGATGCCTTCGGGCGCGGCACCAGGCTCAGCGACCTCATCCTGGCGGGCCAGGAGCTCACGAGATAGAAGCTCGGAGCGGTCGGTGTACATACGGCGTGTCTTTTTACTGTTCTTGCTGATATTTCCGGATATGGTGCCGGACACAGTACCAGAGATGGTGCTGCTCAAAATGCCGAACTTGAGGAACTTCTTTCCCTCTTCCGAGAGGGTCATGGCCTGGCGAACAGCGGCCGCGCGGTCCTTGATCCTAGTAGCCATCTGGCCAGTTCCAGGCGTCAACATGGTGCGGACGTTGCGGAATGCGTTCTGGACCAAGGTGTTGACGCTGCCCGACATGCGACCGGCCGTTGTGCCGGCACGGACACCCCTGACAGCGGCGCCGATGAAGCTTGCATCAGCCGTTTCCACGCAGGCGAGAGTAAGGATAAGCGGATGAACAACAGCTGAAACACGCATCTTGGCGTTTATGGTGTAACGAAAACGAGTCCGGAGTTATGGTGGAAAGAGATGGATATGGTTCGTGAAGTCAAAATATAGTGTTCTTATGGTAAGGTTCAGGAATGAGGACTTTTCCTTGTTACTGTTGTCTGTTTGATATGAATCAACTCCTCAAGAGGCAATCATCAGCTTTATAGCTATCCATATCGTCTGAGCTGTTTCCATCTTGTGTATCCTATGCTTCATGCCGTCTTACCTGCTTCAGATGTTCACGGTCTGAGGTGGCGACTTGGCCTGACGTCAACACAAGTAACCACACATCAGCCAGAACTATCCTTACACTCTGGTCGATCATTGAGTTGCCATCAATAGCGGATCGTCGACATAGCGCATGCCAAATCCTTCTCATAGATCCTCGAGTGAGGCTGAGCTTGTTGAACTGGCCAGTCTTCTGGGCAGACCTCGATTTGCAGATATGGCCTTTCCAATTATAGAACCCTACTGCAAAAATCAAAAGATCTTCAGAGGATTTGAAAGTGACGTTGAAGCTCGAAGTGATATTCCATCGCCACCTCAAGGCTGGCTGACACGCCGCGGACATGTACGGCCTTGAAAGGGTAATATTGAGTGAGCCATGAGTCTCACAATCCTTCGTTTCTTGGCAAAATGATCCGTTTAAAAATTCTTTTGTAGTGTCTGGCCTCACTCTTTGAATTGATGTTGCAACTTCATGTGGAAGGCGATGATAATGCACTGCAGGGGTCGAATCCTATCAACGACAATCCAGCATGTCCGGATTCGTCTTACAATGACGACCATGTGAGCTAGAAAAAGAAAAAGATCGAAACGGATCCTTGTGAGTTAGGACGGAGGAGAAACAGGCGCTCATCTCATATGGCCTGCACGTGGGTTGCTGTGTGGTCCAAGACCCCTGGAGATTCGATCTCACACCCCCACGGATCTAGCCGCGTGCAGATCCCTGACTGCATCCAGACCCCTGCCTGCTGAGATGTACCACTACAAGCTCTGCGAAACGACGAAGTATGACTTGATCTGTCATGCTTAAGCGTAGGCGAGCCAGCACTGTGCAAGTGGTTCTTTGAGCGCGGGGCACCATCGTGAATCTATTTTTACAGGCCGTCTACTCCATGGCCCATGTGTTGCCAAGCATTAGGATTATGCGCCCTTCCTCAGCTTCGCCACCAGCTTCCATGAGGCCAGATGATTGCGTTACTTTGAGGCGCTTGCTGCATCTTCTACAGCGAGGGTTGTCATGGCTAACAACCTTGGGTTGTCTGAAACACGTAAGAATCCAGTGTTCTTGCAGGCATCCGTCTCCCTGTAGCGCGGGTCCAGGACTTCGTCACAGACCAAGCTGGCGAAAAATATACAGAAGTTTTGCAATGCGTCAGAAACTTTTATCAGAATGAGCTAGGATATAGAGCGCTAAAAAGATAAGCAAGAGCGCTGAGTTTGGATCTAAGATACTACAAATCTCCAAAGAATAGGGCAATTTCCATCTGTAGTTGCTTCGTTCTCTGACTGTGAAGCTTAGGGAACTGCCACTTAGGAACCAGCCACACGAACCACATATACACCCAAAGAAATCCCGCTATACGACCTAAGATACGAACGACACTGCGTTCGAAGAAGCCTTTTCTCTTCAGTGACTGCACAAACTGGCTTCCCCAGAATGCTCGTGAAACCGAGACCTCTGCCGCAGCAGCAGCGAAATTCGCCACGTAAAAAGCTATGTCGCGAATCTCAGAGCCTTCCGCGGTTCTCCAAGCCACTACCGCATGTGCGGCCCCAGAGAGAATGAATATGAAGAACGCGATTGTCGCTTTATCCGCCCTCGAGCCTGGCTTACACCGCAGAAGAACTCGAGATGTCGGCTTTGCGAGAGTGGCCATGTTGTGGGCGGTGACTCGGTGCCAGAACCTGCCCCAGAACCGCTTGACAGTGTAAGCTTCTGTGACGCTACCGAAAAGCGGAGGCCAGTGGTTCATGTCGTCTATCCGCAGAATACAGACAAAAAGGATGGACAGAAAGTCGTGGTAGCACTCAAGACAGAGGTAATTCATCCAGACCCAGTTCAGAGGCATAAGCATGCGCAGAATGACCTCGAACTGTGTGACTTCGTCTAAAGACCAAACCAAGCGTCTGACAAGGCTTTCTCGTCTTGGTGAAACGTCATCCAGCCCAATATCTAGAAAATAGGGGTCTGAGAGTCTCCGGATAACTGTATAGTGCAAACAAACAAGAAAGCCAATTCGTATCAAACGAACGACCATGAACCAAATCAAGGCTGGAGAGGACCTATGCCATAGATATGTTTCCGTCGTCGTGATATTTCGAGGGTTGTTCCAGATGCTTGTGGCATTTGACAGGGTTTCCCGCCAGGATCCTGTGGAGTTCGATCTCGGCAGAGCATCAAATTTCGGGGCAGCAACTACGTTGTGCTTTTCGAATAGTAATATGCGCGGCAAGATAATCAGGTTGACAATGCAAGTGATTCCAAGTGAGTACTCCAAGTACGGCGGAGACCAAGCGGTTGTCGTCGGGCTGATGGAGAGTAATGACCACAGCGTCAAGGCATATGGTGGGATGAAAGAGGCAAAAGGTGATACCTTTGGCAAGGCCAGGGTAACGATGGTGAGTTTGACGGCCAAAACGAGCAATAGGTATGGCTTCCAAGCCTCGAAAGGTGCGTTGAATAAGTGAGAAAGGATGAGTGCTGCCATTTGGCCTTATGTTGCAGAGATGGTGTGGTAGAGACGGTTTGTACAGTGATGCTCATTATTCTTGTGCCATTTTACTTGCAATAGTTCGGAATCAGGAATATGAATACGGAGGTTCCACTGTCCGTTTATCGAGTAATAGTAGATAGATGCTTTGCTACAAAGTCATTTGTGTCGGCTTATGGGAAGTGGCGTGGAAGAGATCTACGGGCACTGCAAGTGACGATCAATACCTGGACTGATGTCATTCGGGGACTGCCATTCTATTGATAAGCGTTCTCAAAATAACTTTATTGAGAGCGACACGACCTTGTCGAATCCTACAGTATCAGCACCACCATGGAGTTTTTACCGAGGATGAGCACCAACGCATTCCAAGAAAGAAAACATATGCTGTATTTCAGAAGCGCAACTGCCGCCCCGAGATGAGATGAGATATGTTTCCCATCTGACAGACTCAGCCCTCACTAAAGAACCTTGCTCTCGCTTTCCACGACGGAATTACACGCATTTCACACCGCCACTCACACATCATGCCTCACAATGTACAGTGGTCTGCAAGCAACATACCTTTCTCTGACACCAATGACCCTGAAAGGCAGCAATACGGCAAAGGGCCACAATCTGGCTCCATGCTCACACCCAGCAAACGTACAGTCATCGGGATCTCGGTCGGCGTGGTAGTCGGGGTCGTGTTGGGTACCGCGATTGGACTTGGTATTCGACATACTTCTTAGGTACCTATGAAAAAGGGTCGAGATCATGGCCCTGAAGGAATTTATGCATAAGGGCCGCTCATTTAGCTCCTCAGAACACACGCTGAATGGGAGACTACCCCACTTCTTCGCCCCAACGAATCTTGAATAGATGAGCATCAACATGTGATCTCAATGCAGTACGTGATCAATAAGCCGGTATTTTGCGATGCTACACCTCGTATTGAGAAAGGCCAAATAGATTGGGGCGAATGCTTTCGTGTATAGATGGCCTTTGACTGTAACTGTGGGTTTTAGGCACAATTTGGTAATGGCGACGTGAAAGGTTCTCTTTGTTCACGCATCACAACACATTCAGCCGTCATAACCCTCCTGAGCCATGATGCTATTTACAAAGGATCACATGCATGCATGGCGCCTCTCTATTTTTGATGATTGAAGTACTGGTACATTGCTGAAAACTCGCATGTTCTTGCGGTATTGAGGTCGGAGTGTCCTGACGAACCTCATGCAACACGTGGGAAACAAACACATTTCATTCGTCAGAATTTACTTGTTTGCCATGTCAGCCCAGCATACATCGGGACCCCCACGTTGATTCCTTCAGATTGACTGAGCTAAGAATCATTGGTTGCATAGGCGCGACCCCTAAACTTGTCTTGACGGCCCAAGTACTTCTCACGGCGCAGCACCAGGCCCTCTGAATATTCCACACATGAGCCAAGAGAAGAAGAATCTTGGACAACCTCAACGTTGATCCATGATTGTCACGAGCTCCCATTTGGAGCAGTGAGCCTCGGTGGCGATCAAAATTCACAGAAATAGCTATTATGATGATCAGAACTCCTCACATGGTGACCCTTGAGATTCTAAACTAAGTACGAAGGATCTGTTGGGATGGTAATCGCCTCAACCTGAAAGACAGAATAGGCTTCGCCCAGTTTAATTTACGTCATCAATTTCGTTCCACGACGTTACTTGCTTCCATTTTCACGAGAGATTTGTCGATCTGTCGATGGGGCGCAATTCTTGCGGAATTCTCATTGTTGATCTGAAGTCACGACCAAAGTAAGTTGGACCATCGGTAGCACTGTGGCCACTTGATGAGAGTGACATCAATAAATGGCAGCATCTCACGAGTATAAAGAAGCATCAGAATATCCTTCAGATCGCTTCATGAAACTCATCAAACCATCACCCCAAAGAATCCAGCATCAACGACCAAATCCATCCAGCTCACACTGTATCTTTACATCAATATATCAAATCTTCAAAACTCTACAACAACCGGTCCCACCATCACCACAATGAAATTCTCTGCCGTTGCTTTTATTGCTGCACTGAGTGGCTCTGCCGTAAGTTTTGATCGACGCTATTTCCGGGACTTTGGTGGATAGGCGATGCTGATGCCATAGAGATTGCTGCTGCTCCCGACGGATACACCGTCACCGACCTCGACTGGGTTTTCAAGACTCCCAGTGGCGAATCTATTACACTTTATGGCACTCTTGAAGAGGTTACCGAGGAGTTCCAGTCTCTTTACCCCAGCACCAAGCTCAAGCGTCGCAACGCCAACAGCGACAAGCACGAGCTGTTCACACGCCAGTGGGAGGGTGCTTCTTATGAATGCATCGACTCCAAGCACCCGGTTCACGGATGGGAGCCCGCTGACTACGGTAGGATCCAGGAAGGGTGGAACTACCTTTGGGATCTCGAGGGTCAGCCCGGGCACGGTCCTGGCCCTGCTGCTTGCGCACGCGTCAGCTGTTCTCACAACTCGGGCATCTACTGGTGTAACGATGTACGTGATATGTTTCCAGATCAGTAGTAAACATATTTGGTCTGGCTCTTTTGCTAACTCATTGCTTTGTAGAACGACCACGCTGTCACTCTCAACTCATGGGGCGACTTGGCCCGTGGTGCGGCTGAGCTCTGCAACCTCTGCTCGTCTGCTGGCATTCGCAACAAGTGCGGTGGCCAGTTATTCCACCCTGACGGGTACAACGTTTTCATCACCAACGACAGCTGCTAGATGATACAAGTCATCTCACCTTAAGGGTATATCGCTATCTAGGGAGCTTGAGAGACAGGTCGGGCCACATGGGTTACGTGACGAAGGCGTGGACTTTTTGCAACCTGTATTTGATTGAGAGCAAGCCCAAGGATATCACGGTCATTCTTTTGCACGGTCAAATAAGTTCAATGTCTCAACTATGCGATGCACTAGTTCGGCAAAGGAAAACACAAATTAAAACAATCTCACAATCTGGAGCAGCGATGTTTGAAATGTAGAGCATGGTTGCCAGGTATATTTATGCGCCGAATCCTCTCATGCGATGGAATTTATTCACTGCTCATTCCATGAAGAAGCACCTCAGTTGTATACTGAGATCTCAGTAATCAGGATAGCCTCAGTGTTCGCAGTGTCCTCTTGGCACAACATCTTGATCGTGAACAGCGGATCGTATGTCAACTGCACCGTGATAACCGGGCCCTCGTACTGCTGCCAGACGCCAGGCGACTGTCCGTCATCCTGAATGGTGAGGATATTGTCGGGCGACCTGTTCACGCTAGCAGCGATACTGCACCCTTGAGAATTGCCAGTAAACTGGTAGCTGAAGCGCACTTGGATCTCGACAATCGGAGGTGGGTCACCACAGCGGATGTACTGGTTGATATAAACCTGAGCAAACTGCTGCTGCGACGGAATCAGGGCAAATGAGTACTGCACACCGTCGGGACCTTCCTGTACAATACCCGAATCCGCTGTGACTTGATCGGAGATGAACCACGCTCCAATATCGTTGTTCTGGAACGACCCATTACTGATATCTGCGCATGTTTGGGACGGGCTGGCCGATGTGGTCGTGGAGCTGACAACACTTGTCAAGAGGCTAGTCGGAGGCAAGGAACTGGGGGGCTGGGATTCCGGCGGCACAGATGAGCTTGGTCCAGAATCAGTTGAGGATGGCCCTGAATCTGATTGACCAGTCGAAGATGCGGAAGATGCAGCCGCCGCAGAGGAGAAAGCTGAAGACGGTTCAGGTTCTGACTGACTGGTCGAAGATATAACAGGCACAGGCAGTATAGAGGAAGAGTCTGAAGACGGCTCAGGTCCCGACTGACTGGTCGAAGATATAACAGGCACAGGTAGTATAGCTGAAGAGTCTGAAGACGGCTCAGGCTGGGTCATAGAGGATTGCCCTGGGTTGGGCTGATTTGTCGTGGAACTCAACGGCCTTGGTGCCGCAGTTGCAGTTTCAGAGGTGAGAATTGGCTGATCAGTTGATGAGCCAGAGGGTGGGCCCGGGCGACCCGTTGACGTTGGATCAGGCCGTGGTTGAGGGACTGTAGATTTATCTGGCCGTGGTCGAGGCTCCCTGGTAGGAACGGGAAGAGGATCGGGCGGAAGTTCACCGCCGGTGGACTTTGGCCATGGCACATAGCTGTTGGTGCTGTAGGGGTGGGAAGAGTGGTGGTCAAAGTACCAGTGGCTTGGCGGCTCGCCGCCATGATAGTCGAGCCACCAGACCTCGTACCAGCCGATGTCATGAACCTCGTCATGAGGAGTTGATTCATGTCCAGGTTTGTCTGTCCCTGGGGGTACGTCGGGATTATTCTGATTATTTCCAGCGCCTGCACACAGTTCAGTGGCAGGGAAGGCAGTCGGACACGCCTGACTTAGGAACTGGTCCCAGTGGGAGATAGAACGGTCAACCACAGCTACCACAGTAAAAGTAAGAGTAGTAAGTGCTGGAGTCGGCTGTTCCGCCTCGCATTTGATCGTCGTGATCGGGTCTGGCGCTGACGCATGTGCCTGGGTGATAGAGGCAAGCGTCGCGGCGGCTACAAGGTTGGAGTACATTCTCGGGCTTTCGAAAGTCTGCCCAAGAAACAATATTATGTATGATCACTTCGCTTTCGGCTTCGGCACTTTGGGCAGGCATCTCTCACTTATAAACAAGTCGTGTTCACTAGCAAGGCGGCAGGCTCGGAAGTGGATCTCGTCCTGTTCAGGATGCTGTCGCATAGTCTAGGCAGTGCAATTGGCGAAGATTCAGTACCGTAACTAATATCATGAAGCTGAATAGCAAGTGACATCACCTTGTCATGAGTTCTTTGGCGGCTGCGTCGTCGGCCGCCACCAACCCAAATGCAGCAATATGAAGGTGAGACATTAGTAGAGCTATCGGCGATGTGCCGTTAATCTGGGATCCGTTTTACCCGATTAGACGGCAAAGGGTGTTTAGAAGGGGCCAGCCCCGACTATGTAAGACATCTAAACAAACTATGCCCAATACGCATTGTGGTTTGCCGCCGCCGTTGCTTCGGCCTCATCCGGCCACAACAATAAGAGCAATAGCTTTGTATGAAACCGTACAACTGGGTCCCCACGATGAACCGGGAGTGAAAGACTACTTGTCGAGCTAGTATTTTCTCGCGCATCCACTTGTGTTGACCATATTCGGTATAACAATCCCGGAATGGCGATCGTCAGCTATTCTATTTGCGGTGCGTTCAGTCGGTCACTTGTCCGAGAGAAGCGCGCAGTCCATCGCATTTTCAGAGTACATCTAGTGTCCCCTGGCTGAGCTTTTGTCCGGAAAACATCTAGACTGACCGCGGATACTGGTCAAACTGACCGATCCGAGATTGATGCTCGCAACATCGCTCAGGTGTTTGGATTAATGACCGCCGATGGGCAGACGCTCCGGTACCATAGCTGCCAAATCCAGAGCGACATAACGCAGACTTGCAGTAGCGTAATGGACAAAGACGATTTAGCGAGCGATGAAGCTTCAGGGTAAGGATGGAAACTTCCGAGACATCAGGGCTTCTCTCGGGCCACACCAGCAAGATTTGTCATCTGAATAGCTCTACAAGCCTATGCTCTGGTCACGTTGACGAGAGCACGAAGCTGGCGAGGCGCTGTCTGAACCTCAGATTGGGCTGCTCCATGATCGGACGTGCCGGGCACAGAACCTAGCTCGTTATGTTCTACCAGCGGAATTGCAGTGCTACCCGAGAGCTAGAAGATTGCCCGCCGATAACCAGCTTACCTCCCCTTACTCGGAGCAGAATGTCCCTGTGGACAAATTTCACTGGACAGGCCCCGGAGCTGCACACTCGTGATGTCAACATCCTTTCAACCGCTTTGGCACCACTTTGGAACCAAATGAGGTTCTCAAGGTAATTTATACGCCTGCGACGACCACAGCTGCAGCCCCAAGGCCATACTCTCGAGTACGCCTTGCGAAGATAGACTGGCAACAGGCGCAGATGCGGCCATGACCATTTTTAAACCCTCGTCATTTTTATTTGGGCGCCACCCTCATTGCAAAGCTAAGAGTATCAAATTCGATCACACAATATTATTTGTCTGCCAATGGATCACGAGTTTCAGAATAAATCTCTTTTAGAAAAAAAAGAATGACCACATGCATTTCTCGTCAGAGTCTGTGGTGGACGTCGCCATTAGTGAAGAAACATGCCCGCTCTTCGTAAGTGACCAACAATTTGCCTCAAAGTTGCGTCACGAGTCTACCACCGTAATTTACAGAGCGCGGTGATGAGTAGAGTAAGTAATTTTTCCGCATGTGTTATCCGCAGCCAATTGGTAAGTCTGGGATAGGACTACATCTGAGTTCTAGCCCTCCGCGGTGTTATATACGCGCTCTCCTAGTCCCCAGTCTCGAACCAGCCCCCTGCTCCGTGGCTCCGCAGACGTCTCCTGGCAGTCTTCGAAAGTGATAGACTTCTGATATGGGTAGAACGCACAAAATGGTACCACCGTGAAAGTTGTCCCGTCGACTGCAGGTCGGGCGGACCTGTACCCAGAAGTAGATGCACGCATCATGATGATGAGAAGTAATGGCACTATTCTCTCCTTTCCGGCATGTTAATTATTTGCCACCCTGGCAGCGCTAATCACATGACGAGGAGAATGTTTAAAGGAAGACTGAGTGGGCGCCTCTCTTGGTCTTGATTGTGACAGGTTGTCGCCAGCCACCTACGGGGCCACAATCTTGGTCCGACACCATCGAATAGTCACGAAGCAGGAGTCAGTCCAATTAGAATTGATGCGTAGTGGATATGATCGTCAGATGACTGAGGGTATTGAGGCTTGGTTGGCCACGCCCTGTGGTAAGTCTAGATCACTACGCATTCGACATGGGCGAATCGATGCTGGCTCGGTGTGAGCTGGACTCACCGGCGTCACCGTAACCACTTGGTTCCAAGAAATCCAGGCTGCTCACTCGATCGGCAAGACCTTGGTCGATGGCGGGGTTCGTCATATAAGCAGAGTGGCAAGTGGAAATATCGTTATAATTCCAGCATGCTCATGCGCAGCGCCTCAGGGTAGCGCGGGGACTGGTGCCCGAACAAGGTAATCGTATGGTACTATGCGAGGACGGTGTGTACTGTTCTGACTTCCACGCATAGCACCGGGGGAAAAGGGTGGGAGCTCACGTGTGCCTAAGATCAGATGAACGCGTTCGTCAGCATGCTGCATCGACGACGGTGCTCCGGTCCTACACCTCGCGAGATTCATAATTGACCGGAATGCGCCCAGCAAGCAGGGGACATCGGCCCTCGGTCCCTGAACTCCACGTCGCTCTAGGACGGCGAAGCGCTGGGCAAAGTCTTGTTGGGTGGACAAGAATGCCTGGATGTATGGAGTCGGTGTGGAGGTCAAGACCTTGGCGGCGGTCAGCACCGTATGAGAGCTACTAGAGAGCTGGTCAGCGCCCTCTTGGTCTCCAGTTGCTATCTTGGCTGCGGGTCCTCGATCTGTTATGGTCCGCTGCCTGCAAGCCTGCCACGCGACAAGGCGGCTCATGGATGGTTGGCTCCCATGCCAATGCGGCGGTGGTGTTTTGTTTGGCATGTTCGTGTCCAAAAGAAGCAGTTTCAGACCTGTTCTTAATATCTTGCTGAGCGGCGTAAGTCAGGGCAGGCGAGGGAAAGGCGTGAGTATTGACCCAGCTTGTGAACCGGAGCCGAGATGGTCTTGGCGTTAATATAACCTTTATTTACCCGCATTTAGCCGAATGTGACACCCTTGCACAGATCCATCAGGACAGTCAGTAGAAGCTGTGCAGGTCGTGCTACATGGTACACCTGAGAAGTGGCGGATCCAAACGTCTGGTTCGGGGCACAGCAGCAAATCATAGCTCGCGCCTCCTGCTTCGGCCATTCTAAAATGAATTCCTCCCCAAGATCAAAGGAGTACCGCCCGATCAGAGGCGTGCCGCGGCATCAGAAGGAAGATCAGGCTAAAGGCGGCTGGCACAAAGCCGTAGACTACCGGCCTTAGCCCTGCATCCATCTAGGGGAATTTTCGACGCGTCGAGATGTCCATAATCCGTTCATAGCCCTTGTCGCGGTTATGTGAAGCGTCTGCCCAGGCGCCAGGCGCCGTCATGTGGCCCAAGGCCATGGCGGCAAAGTCGTGAGCTTTCGCTGCAGGACGATGTTGCGGCCAGGCAACCCAAGAGGAAGAGACGGACCGCGCTCGTGGGTTGGTGCTCTTTCGAGCGTCGGGCGTCGGCGGACCTGATTCATTGGTTCCGAGAATGACCAAGATTTCCAGTGAAATGGGCTGGACGACTCAGATACCAGCGAATGCTTTACAATTCTGCAAGGCGCGCCGCCATAGGGCTGGGCATGCACATTGCACAGCACTCGAATTGCAAGGAATCAGGCATACAGGCAAGCACCAAGGCACCTACCTACCTGAGGTAAGCTACCGTACTAAACTCATCACCTCAGGTGCCTACCCCATCCCCCCCCCCCCACCTTCCCCTTACCCTGGGCTGGGGCAGATTTGTATCCAAGTGTGGCTTCACTTGAAGAGAGTCGTGAGCCCAAGCGACCGAGGACTATGGCGGTGGACAGGTTTGGTCCTCAGTCATTCGTCCTTGCCTCAGCCATCGAACGAACCGAACCAATTCGCTGCACGCCCTTCCCAGAAGTACCTGTGATATCAGGTCTGTCAGCTCGGTTAGAACATAGATGTTCTTCTGTATGTTCTCCACAACTACCTCGTCAAGACGGTGTTTCAATCAAGCCTTTCAGGCCTTCCGGACACCGCTGTTGACTGCCCTGTCGAGGTAGTCACAAATGCATTGAAAACGCCGCAGTTGCTTCAGGTCCCTACCTACCTACCTCACCTAAGTTAGGTACCTGATGATCTTAGGTACCTAGGTAAGGTATCTAGAAGACATGCTTGTTCGCTTGTTCGGGCACAGCTTGGCAGGCGCCACGCGGCCCGGGCTCACAGGCCCCTCCCCGGGCAGCTGCCCCCCTTCTTGGCAGAGCCTCACGACTTCCTCAACTTCCAACGCTACTCCAACATCCAAGACTTGCAAGGCCAGCGAGACTTCCAAGACTTCCAAGACTTCCAAGACTTCCAAGACCCCAAAAGATGGCCAAGGTGGAACAAAGCCCCCCTTTTCCGGCAGCAAAATACCGTCTCGATTGGTATTCCGGCAAAATGCGACTCTCACTCCGTAGACGACATCTGGGTGGTCTGTCGCTCATTCCTCACTCCACTTCTCGGCCCAGCTACCTCAACCCTGACCTGGCTTTCGACAGATGCTGGCGCATGCCCTCCCCCGCGACCCCTGCTTGTCCTCGGCAACTCCATGAGCATCTGTCCACCGGGCGAGGGACATTTGGGGGTGGCGGGGCCCCTCGTCTGATGGATAGATGGGGTGCGTCTTCCACTTTGAGGGACCGCCTTCTCTCTCCGTGATCTGGATCTGAAGGGCGGTCCGCCTGCCCGCCATTGCCCAGGCCCAGGTCGCTGCGTACCACGCCCTTCACTCATGTCTTCTATATATCTGGCGCCACCTTCCTCTCCCTTTCCACTTTGTTCTTCAACTCAACCGAAGGAAGTCCGCCAGGCCCTCGACAAGTCAGATCCTTTTTTGCGCAGCAGAAGACGATCATCTTGCCTCGCCTTCTCCACCTTTATCCCATCAGCCCCAGCTCGCCATGGGCATCAAGGAGATCATCGGCCTCGGGACCGACGAGAAGACGCAGAAGATTCGTGATGAGGCGCCCAAGTTTGAGCACGTAGTCTGGTACAGAGAGCCCGGCCTCAGGGTCCTGACCTTCTACTCAGTTGTGCTCTGCGTCTCTTCCATGGGAACTGGCTGGGATGGGTAGGTTTCCCGACACATCTTTGTTGATTATCAGTCTGACACAGTCCACAGCATGTACATGGGTACCGTCCAAAATTTCGACAGCTGGAATGAGTTCTTCGACAGGCCTACCGGCGACAGGCTTGGACTTCTCGTCGCTCTCTACCAGATTGGCTCTGTTGCCTCCATTCCAATCGTTCCTATCATTGCCGACCGCTGGGGCCGCCGCCCCTCCATTGCCATTGGTTTCATCATCATGGCCATTGGCGCCGCTCTTCAGGCTGCCGCCCCCGACTATGCAACTTACTCTGGCGGCCGTGTCCTCCTTGGGTTCGGCAATTCGTTCGCTCAGATCTGCTCCCCTATGCTTCTGGCCGAGATCTGCCACCCTCAGCACCGCGCTCGTTTCACTACTGTGTACAACTGTCTCTGGAATCTTGGGTCTTTTCTCGTCTCTTGGACCTGCTTCGGGACCCATTTCTGGGGCAATGACTGGTCGTGGCGTTTCCCTGCCATTCTGCAGGGTGCTCCTGGTCTCCTGCAACTGATTGTTCTGTGGTGTAAGTCACAAACAGACACTTGGTTCCGTCTTTGTCCGCCTGGCTTTGTACTAACGTAGCGGATTAGGGATCCCTGAGTCTCCTCGTTTCCTGATCGCCAAGGATCGTCAAGATGAGGCCCTAACCATTCTCGCCAAGTACCACGCCAATGGCAACGTCGACCACCCAACAGTCCAGTTCGAGTTCCGCGAGATCCGCGACACTATCAAGATGGAACAGGAGGCTGACAACAGCACCAAGTACGTCGACTTCTTCAAGACGAAGGGAAACCGTTACCGTCTTGCCGTACTGTTCTCTCTTGGTATCTTCTCCCAATGGTCCGGCAACGGCGTTGTCTCCAACTACTCTGCACGCCTCTACACCAATGCTGGTATCTCGAGCGAAACTGAGCGCCTGGCTATTACTGCTGGCAAGACTGTTCTCGACATGTTCGTCTCTATCAGCTGCGCTCTTCTCGTCGAACGTCTCAACCGACGCTTCTCTTTCCTCTTCTCCACGAGCGGCATGTTCCTCACACTCGTCTTCTGGACCCTCACCTGCGGCCTCTCCGAACAGCACAGGGCTGCTGGCGCCAACAACGCTATGATATTCCTGGTTTGGCTCCATGGTGTCTTCTACTCTACCTGCTGGTCTGGTCTCTTGATCGGCTATGCAGTTGAAATTCTTCCCTACTCGCTTCGTGCTAAGGGTCTCATGTTCCTCAATATCTCTATCCAAATCGCTCTTCTTCTGAACGCGTATCTCAACCCCGTGGCATTTGAGGCCTGGGAGACCGACGAGGCCAATAAAGACACTGGATACGGCGGTAACACGTGGAGACTTTACCTTATCTACACCGTCTGGGTTCTTGGCGAGGTCATCTTCATCTACTTCATGTACGTAGAGACTCGTGGCCCTACCCTGGAGGAGCTTGCACAGGTTATCGATGGAGATCGTGCCGCCGTCGCTCACTTAAACCTCGACCACGTTGAGAAGGAACTTCAGCAGGAGGAGACCGAGAGAGTTCCCTCTTCCGAACAGGAGGTCCACCAAGTCGTTGGCACCAAGGTTTAAGCGCGCAAAGCTCTGCTCTGTGTCTGTTGTTCCACTGCACCAATGACAGCATTTGACATGCGCGGCATGTTTATGCTCATGTTGGCAGTTCGTGGGCACATGGGCAGGATCGTGGTCGTTTTGTTTTTATCTGGTGGTATGTGCTGCAGATATGCCGTTCAAAGAAATTTCTTATGACCAGCTCTGAATCTTGGGACCATAGGTCCAGGTTTAAGTCATTCTTTTAATGTAATTGGATTTGGGTGAAGAAATTACTTGACTGCTTCTGTGCTTGTCGATACTTATTTCATAACTGTATGCCTTGCGGGACATACGATCATGAGGCCGTCGTATTTGCATCCTGCGATGGCATGACCCGCGTCACACATCGAATTCCTTACGCGAAACGTCACTGAGCTTCATGGTTGTTGTATGAAGCAGCCTTCGCACTGGACCTAGGTGTTGCCTCGTTCTCGAAACCTTGTAGTCTTTCTTCGCATACGATAATTTATCGTAGCGTATTACCTCTTGTATCCCGAGTTTAGAGGTGCCTGTTCAAATGCCTACTTCTCAATTGATCCCAAGCCCCAAAAGGCTGAGGCTCTCGAAAACATTGTGCGGTAGCTATTGCAAGGATGATGTTGTTGTGTTCTTCGTCCTGTTCACTGGGTCTTCAATGTATCTGAAGGAGCCAGCTGTCTTCTTCATTCCCACCGCCACCGCCATTGATACCTCCCCAGAAGACCAAGCTTGCGTCCCCAGCGGCAGCGGCACCGAACAACGCTCGTGGTCCCGGATGCGCCTTGCCACCCCCGCTGTCCTTCTCCACTGGCACGATTTCAACCTCAGCCCAGCCGAACTCTCCCGATCCCGCCCGCGGCAGCTTCTCGCGGATGGCGTCCTTCAGAGCCGCGGCACTGAGTCCCCGACTAGGCACCTGTAGTGACCAGATGTCTGAATAGAAGTCTCCCTCTCCAGCCAATGCGCCGTCAGAGTAGCCAAACATGTAAATAAGGTAATTCCGGCCCACTCCGGTCGTGATTGGCACGAGGGCGCCGCCTTCACGTGGTTCGGGGGCAGGGGTCAGCGGACTGACTGCATAGTCCACTGTCTGCCATTCCAGCGCATCGGCCCTCTCCCGATCCGCCGCGCTGCCTCTGATGTCGAGGAAGTTTATCGCGCCAGGCGTATTCACGCCCTTCGAAACTGTGTACAAGACGCGGTCCACGAACGCGGCTGCCATCGGGGCCGCCGGAGCCGATGGTAGTTTCGTCCACGCCAGCATGTCGAACGTGAAGAGCCACGTCTCATTGTCAGCCGGACTCTCTGGTCCAGTACGGCCTCCGTGCAGGACGAGGACATCTTCCTGCTCGGCGAGAAAGATGTGGTGGCCGTATCGAGGGGACAGCCTCTTGCCGATTTGGCTCGGTGCCTGGATGCGAGACCAGCTCAGGGCGCGCGAGTCCCAGAGCCAGATGCAGTCCTCATCGATGACAGCGCCCGTTGTGTCCCGACCGCCGTGGATGACGAGGTACTGACCGCGGGCGCAGGCGGCGTGTTCAGTGCGCGGAGCCGGCACAAGCATCTCGCCCGTGTCGACGTCCTTCATCGCCAGCGCGGGGTAGCACGCATATTCGCTGGTCGCGGCAGTGCCTGTGGTCGGGATCGCAAGAGCATGAATGTTGACGGAGCAGAGCTGGCTGTCCTGCTTCTGGCCTCCAAACATGTAGGCTTTGCCTTCGATGACGGTGATGGTGTGATTGTATCGAGAAAGCGAAAGCCTGCACGTGGGAGTCAGCACATAAGGGTATTCGGCATGACGCTCGGAGAGACGACAGAGAGGACGATGACATACTGGCCATCGTTGGCAGGAAAGGCTGCAATCTGCGACAACGACCCTTTCAAAGGCTGCGTTGGTTTGGTGAGGGCAGCAACGGCAGTCGCCTCCACAGCAGTCGAGACGACCTGCTCGACGGCAACAGCTCCAGCGAGCGCCTCGGCCATTGCTGTGTTGAATCTAGGGGGGGAGTGTAGAAAGAACGAGGATATGGTGAATTCACGCGTGATGGTGAGAATGACCTGATTTCTTTTTTTCCTTGCTTGAAGTTTGTTTATTACCAGACGGAGGTGTCTCCGTTGACGTACTACGGTTGGCCTCTGGTTGTTTTCTCAGTTGCAGGTGACTTGACTCTCGAAGATGACGTCTCCCAGTGTCATCGCGAATGACGTCACACAAAGCCCGTGTTACAATAGGGAAGGAATTTGGGAGCCTTCTAGTGAATAGCACAGATGTTGTTTATATTTGGCCGGGCGCAAATAAACTGGAGGAGTCTAGGTAGCTTTACATGTCTTCGACGTATTTGTCAAATCTAGACGCGCCATACTAGCCAACGGCCACTACCCGCGAATCTCCAAATGAGCCACCTCAGCGGCCGTAGAAGTTCGTTTCAGAGCTTGGTTCCGATGCGGGTACCGCCCGAAGCGCTCCAGAACATTTCTATGTTCGGTTACGATCCTGGAAAGCGTTCCAATCCAGGGCTCAAGAGCGGGCCGCCGACGTTCGAGCACTTCTTTGGTCGAGAGGACCACCTGCATGTCTTCTCCGAGTTCTGTTTTCAGCCCAAAGAGGACGCAGAGAGTGTCGCTGAACATGCGCCTGTGCTCTGAAAACAACATGTCTTGCATCTGCATGCTCTCCGAATGTTCAAGAGGCATGTAGAACCAGAACCTGTATGCCTGGCGGTACCGAATCTCCGGGTCTTCAGGGATCCTTCTCTCGATCGCTTCGAGTGCCAGCTGCAGACACCTTTCGTCGAAGAAACCATACGCCTTGCCGGCCTCGTCATCCCGGAAGCAGTTTCGCGTGATCTGGTCGAGAAGGATGATCAAGCTCATCCAGTCAAGCGGAGACGTGAGTTCAGCCGCCGCGATCATGTCTGACCCGTCAAAGGTCAACCCCTCGAGGGCCGCTAATGTGGAGCCAAACTCTGCCCTACATGATGGCGCCTTTAGTCTGGTTCAGGCTGCGTTGAAGTTGCGGTGATGAATCCTCACCTGCAAACGCCATCGAACTCTTCATTCCGAGTGAACCAGTGTAAGGCATCTTCAAGCGATGGGACAAAGATGTGTTCGGCATCAGAGATGTGGGCGAACCAGACTCGGCGGATGTTGGTAAAGAGAGTAGGTGTCAGCAAAGCCTTCAGTTGAGGCCTGGGAGACTCAGGAGCGGCTGTCATTTTGGGAATGTGAAAAAACGAGAGCTGCACAGGACGCCATGTTACCCCCTCGAAGACTCATATTTGTATCAATTTGCGTGTGGAGCGCCGGGCGATTGCAACGTTTGGAACGCCAACGATGCCATTGATGCGCGCTCTATAGATCAGATTTCAATGCTGGCCAGAATCGTGCTTGAATTTCTAAGCGGAGCCGAACCAAAGTCCACCAAACAGATATCTTGTTGTGCGTGCAGTGGGACCGAGTTGAAGGGGCGACGCTTGAATGCCACGGCACTCGCTTTTAGAGACCATATCTGGACATGTTAGGCGGCCATAGCTCCCGCGGGTAAACCGAGACTCCTTTGGTTTGGGGCTTTCGCTGTACCTCGTACGGACAAAAGAATTGATGAGACCAGAGGCTTGCGAGGGTGCAAATCATTCGCCGCCCCCCAATAAGCAAAAGAATGACGGCGGAATAGGGGTAAAACAACAGATTCCTTGCCCAACAAACCAGGTTTCATAGCATCAGCCACGTCCCGCTCTGCAAAAGAAAACTATCGATAACAGAATTGGTGGAGATCCGATCATTGCCTGCCTGCCGTGCCGTAGTCTCCACCAAAAACACCCCTAAAACCCGAGAATAGAAGCAATCCAGGGATCATAGAGCCGGGCCAGACCTCGTGTTCCCCACAGTCTGTGCTGGACGGGACGATGACCAGGGCACAATACGAGAAGACCTCATGCATGGTCCGTCGGCAGGCTGCCTTAAGGAAAGGTCGCCCCGGCCTAACCTTCATGGTTTTGCAATGCTCCCAATTTCTTATCTCGACGTCGAGCCTGCTTTGCTTTTAGACACTGCAAAGCCTCACCTTTGTTGTCCACCATCACCGCCAGCCTCTCGCCACAATGTCTCAGCCGGCCATGATGCAGGCCATCGAGGAGGAAGCCCAGCCTGCTCAGCACGGGGACTTTCGTGATGATGCCGCCGAAGAGAGCCAGCCGTACCCTGGATTATTTTCCCAGGACACTATGCCTGCCATTATCGAATCATTGGTGATCGGTGAGTACCTCACAGCGCTGCATCCATGAGCAGTTACGAAAGCTAACGCCTGCCGTAGACGATGTCGTTTCTGACGACGGAAAACAAACAAGCCCAGAGCAAAGAGGAGCAGCAAACGGTATGGACGAATCTATAGACGCACTGGTTGACCCGAATGATCTGACATTCTTTTCTGTGTGCGTAGATTATCGAGGCCATCGACGACAGCGATCCTCCGCGAGCAGCCAGAGCAAGATTATGACGGCCCAGGAGTTTGAGATGTACCGACGGGCGAAGATGATGCACCAGCACGAACTGGACGACGAAAGCGATTACTCGCAAGACGAGAACGACCTTGACGACGTGGATGAAAGGCAAACGAAACAAGAGGCGTTCCAACACAGGGATCGCCAACAAGCGTACATCGCCGAGCAGCGGTACAACAGGCGAAAAGTATCAGGGGGTGGAGGTGTCGGGCAGCCAGACACGGGAGCCCGCCCCGAGTCACCGGCCGTCGCAGATGCATCGGTCGAGACGTGGCTGTCGGCGTGTTCCAAGCGGCAGTCGAGCAGCGACAAGACGCTTGCTGACCAGGTCAATGCTGCGCCAGCGGATCAAGATGATGAGGACGTCCCAGTCGCCTTGCTCCTCAAAGCAAGAGGCGCAAAGAAAAACGAAGGACACCAGAAGGAAAGGAGCCCGCAGAATACGCTTCGTCCCCCGAGGCCACACACCCGAGCATCGAGCCGACAACTCGCCACTCCCTCGCCGCCGCAACCGCGAGCTCCCACGCGGTCTGTCACACCATCCCCAGGGCTCACCGCGACAGGCCATCAGTACGGCCACACGATGCACATGAACAACTCGTCGCAAATCTCCTTGCAAAGGCCTCACATGCCGAGGCCGCACACATCCGGCGGGCTGGTCAGTCGGATCGAAACCCTCGAGAGCCCCAGTCCCTGGAACAAGCGCCGTACTGAACAAGACCCCTGGCTGAGCGCTCCTCTGAACCCACACCGGTTCTATGGCAGGGAGACGACTCCGCCGCCGCAGCAGTACCCCATGATGATGGGGAATCAATTTTTCCCAATGCAAGTCGCGCAGCCGCAGTATCCTGTCATGATGGGTGGACAATTTCCTCCACCCCAGATGCAGCAGCAGCAGCAGCAGCAGCAATATCCGATGATGATGGGTGGACAGTTCATGGCACCACAATATCAGCAGCGACCACTTTATTAGACACCATGGCCTGGTCAAGTAGAAACTTTGTAATCTCTAGCGTCAACGCAATCTAATCTTCATTTCGGCCCCTTCTGACTTCATGTTCAGCCAAACACGGGCGTGAGAGGCCAGCAGCTTCTGTGTTCGATTGAGCACAACCGGTGAACATCAAGGGCCCTCTGCAGCTTCAAATTTTTGATGTCATACTTTGAATTGCATGGCAATTGCATGGCGTCGTATACCGATTTTTGATATTGCATGCCGTCGCCCTTCATTATCACCTGTTCCTCGGTATTGCCACAACTCCTTTCATCGGCTTCTTGATCTTGCCATCCCCCCCCCCCCCCCCCGCCGCCATGACCCCAATCGTGCTTACACGCTCGGCCCCCCAACGCCAGTCACGCCATCGTTGAGGCAGTCGGCAAAGAACTTCATGATGGGGACCATCTCCTCCTTCTCCCTCGGCATCGACACGCCCTTTCTCCTCCAGTGCGCAACCTCGACATTCTCAAACTCCGCCTTGAGCTCCTCAATCTCGTCCAGCTCAAACTGCAGCGCCAGGACCTTGGTCTTGGCCTTGCCCCGCGCGCTGACCGTCGGCACCATGGACCGCGGCAGCGGCCCGCCCAGCGACAGCACGCCCTTGAACGCCGCGTCCTCCGGCGCCTTGCCGTCCTCCTCCTCCAGCGCCGGCCCGACCCGCAGCTTCGACGCCAGGCCCAGCGCCAGGGACCCGCCCTGGCCAAAGCCGAAGAACATGATGTCGCTGAGGCTCCAGCCGAGCTTGTCGATGAGGGTCTCCTTGATCAGCCGCTCGCGGACAATCGTCTCGGCCTTTTCGTACCCCGGGTCCGGGTCAATCTCGCCCGTCTCGTCATCGATCTTGATGTCGTCGCCCCAGTGGAAGTTGCGCCCGGGCTGGGCGTCCGGGTCGCCGAGGAGCGCGAGCGGCAGGGGCGTCGTGCCCTGGACGGCGATGCTCAGGACGCCGGGGAGGTTGATGCCCTCGGCGAAGCCAGCGTAGGGGATCTCGTGGTCGCCGAGCCCGTGGAAGACGATGAGGAACGAGGTCGTCAGCTCGGCGGGCTTGGGCCACGTCAGGGCGATCTTGACGGCGGGGGAGGAGGTGAGGTGGGCAAAGTCGGCCTCGGTGGGGACGCGGGCGGGCATCTTGGCTGTGTGTGGGTGCCTCGAGCTGTGTTGGGCCGGTGTCTTGGATGAAGAGGATGAAGGGGTGCCTCCAATGCGTTCTGTCGATATGCCTGGTTGCCTAGCCGTCGTGATGGCTGAGGGGAATGCACTCGGATGGCTCAAGCTGACTGTGTGGGTGAGTGGTGAGTGATCAATTCACTGCTTTGGTGGGGTCGAGATGACGTTGGCTCAGTGCTCCTGCCGAGGGGCATGACCCCGCTGTGCCTGCTACTGAGATTTCTTTGGGGTGGGGGCGTTGGACCCCTGGTGCTAGTTGGGCGATTATGTCATCGGCCCCTTTCCCTCTCGATCCCTTCACATCAGTCCCTCAGCTCCTCCCTGGGTTTCTGGGATTGATGGTTCCAAATATATTAAAACCTTTTTTTTTTTTTCAAGCAGACTCGATGAGACATAACCGAAATCAGAGGCCAAGCCAAGCCAGAGCAAAAAAAAAAATTAGGTTCCTGAGCGCCACAAAAGTGCTCTGGCCATGCAACGGCGGACACGATTAAGATTTCACTGTATTGGTAGCAAGTAGACTACATTATCAAATAAGGCCACCGCCTTCAGCTCCCGCCAAACACCACGCTACTCATGCCTTAAATCAACATCACGACCCCTTCGTTCACTCGATAGCGCGCTTCCTCTTGCAAGGGCTGTTGCTATCCCTGGGCTGACCGAGGCCGAAGCAGTTGGCCATCTTGTAGAAGATATCTGTGTTGTCGTACGACCCGCCAAAGGTCTCCTGGCAGGGACCCATGGCGTACACCATGACGTCCGTCAGCGAGTGGATGCCCTGAGCCTCGTCGACGGGGATGGTGCCGTTGACAACGAAGCCATCGGGGGCGTCCTTGGGGTTGACGTAGTTGTCGTTGGGCGCCAGAGGCACAGTGGGCTTGCGGGGAGACTCGTGAAGGCGGTAGTTCTCGCGGCGGTCGGGGTTGGCGCCAAAACCGGCGGCAATGGCGTAGCGAGGCGTCCAGTTCAGAGGGAAGTTGGGGCCGGTGTTGTAGCTAACGTTGGGGTTGGGCGAGGTATACTGCGACTGGCCCGAGCGAGCGTAGGTGCCGACGGCGCGGCGCTTGGAGCGGAAGTCCTCCTGCTCGGCGAGGTACTTGGTATCGGTACCGCCAAAGACGCTGTGCTGGTTAGCTTTGGTACGTACACCAGAAATGGGGACTTAGCACTCACTCGAAGCCATGGCCGTGATCAGCAGAGACCACGATCAGGGTCTCGTCGAGGATGCCGAGCTCCTTCAGCTTGGCAATCGTGGCGCGGACTGTATCATCGAGCTCGAGAAGGTCACCAAGAGCGCGGTCGTAGTCAAGAGCGTGCATCTGCTTGTCGATGGAGGCAGCCTCAGACATGAGGAAGAAACCATCCTCGCTGGCACGGTTGTGAAGGACGTCAATGGCCTTCAGGGTCATTTCCTTGAGACCGGGCAGGTCCTTGGCGTCGCCATCACCACCGGCAGGGCTGTTCTTGAGGCCCTGGAGGTTGTTGGTGTAGACATTGCGGTCGAGCCAGGTGGGAAGGTTGCCCTTGCAGAAGATGCCGAGGGCCTTCTCGCCAGAGTCAGCGGCCTCAAGGGCCGTCTTGTTCTGCGAAACAGTGTAGCCTTGGTTGGCAAACTCGGCGTAGTAGTCCTTGCCCTTGTAGGAGCCGCTGCCGGGGATGAACTGCTCAGCGCCGCCACCGAAGTAGACGTCGGGGCCCTTGTGGCTGGGCCAGGAGTAGTTGCTGATACCGTTCAGAGCCTGCTCGATCAGGGGTCCGTACTGCGAGCGAGCACGGGTGTGGCCAGTCAAGGCGATGGGGGTGGCATCGGCCATGAAGGCGGTCGACACAGCGCCCCAGATGGTGCCCTACACTTGTTAGTCTTGCTTGTAGTGGACAGGGCCTGTTTGGGAGTACTCACCCAAATACGCGTGCTGAGCTCAACAATGGTCTCAACCTTGGGGTCGTCAAATGGATCGGGAGAAGAATCGGCGTAGACGCTGGGGCCAATTAGCTCTGGCAGTACATGAATTTTCCCAATGTTGCTCACCCCATGGCGTTGACGGTGCTCTTGTGGCCGGTGTACAGAGCAGAAGCCGAGTTGGCGGAGTCGGTGATGTAGGTGTCGATGGAGTGCGTCATCTGGTGACCAAGGACAGGGAAGCTGTCGAGAGCCAGCTTCGTCTGGTACTTTCCGTTGATGCTCTTGTGTCCGAGGAGACGAGCGGCAGTGATCTGTTGGGGTCATTGTCAGTCCTGGCACCGTTGCAAATTTTCAATCTCCCATCCATACCATGTTCGTGGTCATGCCGTCACCTAGAAAAGACCATTTAGCTGGTTTCAGCAATTGAGCTGCATCTGAAACATACCGATGAAGAAGATGATGTTCTTGGCCTTCTTCTCCGTCGCCAGAGGTCGCACGACCCAGTTGGCGGTGGTCTTCTTGTCGCCATAGTAGCTCAGGCTGACCTCGTAGTTGCCAGGCTCGTAAATGGCGATACGGCGCCAGACCTTGGACGCCACATTGACGGCAGAGCTCTCCTTGGCATCCTCGGCGTAGAGGTCCTCGTACCAGTGGAAGGTCCAGGACTCGAGCTTCGGCTCCTTGTCAATCTTGAAGAACTCCTCAAGAGACTTGGTCTCGCCGCCCTCCTTGGTGATGGTGACGGAGAAGTCTTCGTCAGGAACGCCCTTGTTGAAGGCCTCCGAGCCGTTGATGGGAGCGTGAACCTCGACGCGAAGGTCGAAGAACTGGCCAGGCAGAAAGTCGGACTGGTCGGGCGGCAGGACGCAACCAAGGTCGGGGCACGAGCCGAGACGCTGGAACGTCTGGGCTGAGACGGCAGAAAGGCCGGCGGCCGCGAGGGCGAGAATGTTGAGCTTGGCCATTGTGACGCTGAGCTTGATGCCTTCTCGCTTTCCGATCTCCTAGGTCGGCAACGTTTCTTTGAGAAAGGGGAGCTTTACAACGCTGGCGCAGGTGTGGCCGGACAAGGGAAGAGCAACAAAGGACCGTTGGGCGGCTGAGATGCATCGAGGGCTCGAACTTATACGGCTCGGGGGGGGATTTCCAAGCTGTCAAGCTATCGAACCCTGCCAGCCGCACGTGCCGATCCATGGACTTTTGCGAGGTTGCAGAGCTCTCGCCCGGCGCCGGATCCATTGTCATTGCTGCATGGCGCCAGGCTCAAGACGGCTTCGCGACCGCGGCTACGACGTGGTCTGCAGAGACTGTGGTGAACCTGGTTTGCTCGTGGTGGGTTGACGAACCCAGACGAGCAGCCGTTGCAGCTGTTCTAAACCCTGCGACTCGGGGCACGCGTGCGGGGCGGGCGCTCCGCTTGTTGGTTTCCCCAAGCAAGGGGAGGGAGGTATGCATGATTCCACTCGTTGGCGATAAGGCATCGGAGCGAGCGTGGAACGACCGGTACAGGGCTGGGGTGGGGCAAAGAGAGATGACCGGTGATGGGCAACGTGGGACGTTCAGCCGATCATGTTGAGCGATGAGGGCACGTGCTGTACCTCTCCGTGTCGCCAGCTCGGCGGGTCGAGGCCTAGCGCGCTGCCAGTGCAGCGTGAGGGTGGAAATGATGATCACCGAAGAGGATGCTCGAAGATGTTCACTCGCGTAGAGAGCTTCTTCAGTGTCAACAAGGACCGTGTCAAGGTGGAGTTGAACAAGAAGAAGTGGGCTGAACAGAGTAGCGGCCTGTCTGTCCGATCAGGGTCGAAGGCCGGCGGGGGTTACAACAGGGTGAGGTCAGTCCAGTTGAGAGGGGTAGCATGGTGCATTCGGACGCTTGCAAGATGATGATTCGTCAATGGCGAGCTCCCAGGTGCAGGGTTGTCGATGATCGATGATGCTGTTGATCTGGCGGAAAAGGCAAACCGGACGGCTCGAAGCCTCGTGGACGATTCCGAGCTTCTCATTGGCTGTGAAGGCTGGTCGGGTAGGACCAGCATCGACGGTGCAGGGGGAGGTGAGGGGGAACCAGTTGACCGAAGCTGCATGCAGCTGCCCGCTTTTCATTAGTCTGGCTATTGAACGTTGTACAGGTCTTGTGTTGGTCAATGATTTGTTTTTTGGCTCCTGTTCGGTCTTCTGAGGGTGGTCTGCTGTTAAGGTCGGGTGTTGGTGGGCTTGTACGTTAGTCAGCATGGGTTTGCCGAGTTTTGGGACCAAGTCGATCTGCTATGCGGACGGCGGACAGAAAGCAGTCTGTCTACTTTGAATACTGCGAGATACCACGTCTCGAGTTATCGAATGTCTCAGGTTTCGAATGTAGCATTCTCTAGATTCCTGTCAAATTTGCAGATCACATCATCCGTCAGATTGCCGAACAGATCGTGCATCAAGCATCCATAGTGCCCGCAGCCCGCTGCATGGCATCCTCGTCGGAGCGCGCATCATGGCCATCAAGGTAGCAGAATGTTTTTTCATGTATTATTTGACAAGCGCACCGCCCTCCTCTTTAGTTGCGAAGCCCTTCTTGTCTAGCTCAACGGAGCTCTCATCTGGCACCACAGGGGTCTCTGTCGCGCTCCTTGCAGCTTGAGCAGACTCGTCCGTCGCGTCACTGGGACGCACAGCGCCCTCTGCGTCTGCGTTGCCGTCGTTGAAGTTGGCCCACTTGCTCTCGTTGATCTTTGGTTGATTCGCGATGCCCTTGAAATGATACCCTCGAGCTCTGGGACGCGAACCAGTCCCGAGTGGTATTTCCGCCTCATACGTTGCCACGAACTGTTCTGAGAGCTCTTCGAACCGCGTGGGACTTGCTGCAAAGGCGGCACGAATACCAGCAAAGAACTCACCAACCACGTGGTGGTTGTGCATCTGCAGCAGCGTCCATGCGAGCATCTCGTTTGCGTTGAGGAGATGGTGGATGTAGGCCCGGTGGTGCTTCGTGCATGCGTAGCACTGACAGCCCGGGGCAAGCGGTGTCACCGATGTGACGTGTTCGGGCGACCACATGCTGGTGCCCAGGGCAAGTGGGTGTTCGTGGGGACCCCGCGGGGGCGGGAACGTAAAGTCAAGCGCGATGCCCGCGTCAGAGGTGGTGTTGAGGAACGGCACAGCGCAAATGTCGACGCCGGCAGCGATCTGCTCGAGGATCTGCTGGGGCGATGTAACAGTATGGAGCGAGAGTCGCGCCAGGGGCACCAACGGCTTGTAGTGCTCGAGAACCTCTGGTAGCAGGTCAACATCGTAGATCGCCAGGCCTACCAGTGCGTCAATGTCATCCTCGGACAATTGCTTTAGGTACTGCCACTGAACATGGTGCGGCACTCCTAGAATGGGGGCAAACACTGCAGTTCCGGATTCGCGCAGCTTTTCCCTGCGGCTAGGCTTCAGGAACCGGGCCACCCACTCCTCGGTCCGATCCGCCATGCGCACGAGTTTCTTGGCGGGCGGGCGGACACTTGTGTGAAAGAGATCGGCGGGCGCGATGGCAATGTCGGGGCTGAGTGCTTCGATGTGCGCGGCATACGTATCGATAGGCAGCGTCGACGCTCCAGTTGACGTCCAGATTGAGAGCGACTGGCTGCCATTGCCAACTGGCGTCTTCACCGGTGTGCATCTGCGCGGGCCCATGATGGTCGCCATATCGCGAGGGAAGCCTGTGAAGGCGTGCAGCGGCCTGGCCAGCGTGGGCGGAGCGCTCAGAATAGGCGGGCTCTTCTTCTCGATGACTAGAGGGTTGGTATGAGTCTCAATGTCCTGTGCGAAAGTGTCTTGGGCGCTTACAATCCTCGAGGGCCATGTAGGCACCTCCAAAAGTTGCGTGTTTTGAGAGAATATCTGGCGTGACATGAGGCACGGTTCCTCTTGATGAGATGGCGATGAAATTGGGTGTGTCGATGACTTTGCAGTTAGGCAACGCAAGGCTACCCAGCCTCGCCGCTGAGCCCTGTTGCAGCGCTGACTGTAGAACCTTAAAAGCCATCTCGTCTGATGATGCCTCATTTGAGGACGTTGGACCGTTTATCATGATACCATACTCTTTCCCTCTGCTGGGTGGATGGAAAAGGGGAGCGAAGAATGACGAGTAGGCAGTGAGCTTGTGGGAACACGAGAAGGAGAGGATGAGTCTATGGTGCCGAGCCTGACGAGGAGAGAGTGCGAGAAAGAAAGGAACGTCAGCGATCACCCTGGCTTTTCTGAGCTATGGCCAGTAGGTGAAAGAGAAAGGGCAACTCTGGTGGGAACGTCGATATCACGAAGACGGCCGCCACTTGGTCGTGATGACTTCGCCGAATCACTCTTTAGCCCACTAAATTTTAGCCATCGTGTCCCCCACGCAAGACCCCCATTTGATGGCGCTCACCAGCCACAGACACGCTCACCAGCCACTCTTTCCCTGATCTCTACTAGCTTTATCGATTCAATCATGTGGCTTTGCCGAACATTAGTCGCTTCACACTGCATGCAGGGACCCGGGGCCAGTGGACCAATCACTGGAACATCCCCACCAACGTTGCTCTACGGCTTCTTCGGGATGGATGTCCCTAGGCAAGCCCTGGTCCAGCTGATGGGTGCTTGAATCAGTGCCAGCAGTCTTGCGACATGCTCTCATGACTTGGATAAGGTCTCGGTTGTGAATGCTAAATACACAGCAGTTCTCCTGCCCACAACGCCCCTTTCTGCGGTGTTCTTCGGAACGTCAGTTTCAAGACCAAGACCGCCAGTAGATGTCTGCTTTGACAGCGCAACACCACCGTCACCCATCATCGATTTAGTAAGCTCGGATCGCGCCCGAGTGGCGGCCCCATCTGTGGCGCTTTCCAAGAAATGCTGACGGATCGGGTGCGGCACAGCCAAACGAAACACTCTAGGAGACGCGGGGGGCATTGACATGCCCTTCGTCTTCTCCGACACGACAGCAACAGAATGAGCGACGATGGCTTTGCCGAAAACGCACCCCTCCTGAGCAGCATGGAACGACAAGAAGCCACCGAGAGACCTGCTGCCGAGCGAGGCGATGCCACTGCGACGGCGGCCGACCATCCCGACGCCCCGATCCCCGATTCCACCACCACCGCCCAACAGCGACGCGAGCTCGAGGTGGAGGACGACTCATCGACTTCCACCCCGAGGTTCTTGCAGGATGACCGCAATGGAAAGAGATGGAAGTGGGTGCCGTACCCCGTATACCGCTTGTGGAAAGCCACAGCGACTTGGGCACAGGGTCCCCAGAACCCGCGCGATTGGAAGATCAAGCCCGTCTTCCCGCGCATCCAGGAGTTCCCTCTCCTGCTCGTGGAGAAGTATCTGCCGAAGCGGAAACAACGCCTTGCTGTCGTTTTTTTCTACGTAGCCATTTGGGCTGTCACCTTTGCGCTTGTCAAGCGAGCCGAGACGCTCGCCACCGAGATCGAGGGCTGGGGCACGCCTTCGGAGATTGGGTGCGGCGCCACGTACTGGGGCGCCGGAAACCGATGCGGCATCAATGGTGTCGACTGTCGTCCGTTCAATGGCAGTGGTTTCCCCTTCAGGTGCTCGGCAAACTGCCGGTCCGTTCATGTCCTCAACCCCCGCGCTGTTGGCGATCAGGAAATCGTCTACCAGCCCTTCGTCATCGGCGGCCCAAACGGCACGAACGATGCTTTCTACCGCGGCGATTCATTCATTTGCGAGGCTGCTATCCACGCGGGCGTCATTTCGAACGAGAGAGGAGGATGTGGTGTTGTGAAGGTGGTCGGCAGACGGCAGGACTACATCAGCTCGAGCCACCATGGCATCAAGAGCGTTGGCTTTGATTCCTATTTCCCACTGTCCTTTGTCTTTGAGCAGGACATTGAGTGCAAGTCTCGCGACATGCGATGGGACTTGCTGGCCGTCTCAGTCGTCTATACGTCTGTGATGTCGCTATTCACCGCTTCCTCGGCTCTCTTCTTCTTCGCCAACTTCGTTGGCATCTTCTGGCACGTTGGCATTGCATCGGATCCCCCAGGACACTCCAGCATAGCTGGGCTCGTCTCGAACATCCTCGGAAAGTTCCTGCCCGCCATGTTCTGTGCCTACGTCATGTACGACAAGATGGGAGGCCGCCGTTTGCTCCGCGGGCTCACTGCGCAGGTCGAAAAGACGGTGCTCTGGCTCGGCGCCTGCTGGGTGGGCGCCTTGACTAATTACACGCTCGACTTCATTCCCATTTCAAGATTGACGGGTCATGACCTGCAGCAGCAACCGGGCGCAAAGGCCGCGCTCGCCATCATCGTCATTGTCTTATTCGTTATCGTTGTCAAGCAGATCTGGTTCTTTAGGCAGGAAGGTCGGTTGCTGAAGTACCTAAAGCTGTACGCGCTCTTCGTCGGTGGCATCGTCATTTGCCTGCTGCTCCCGGGCCTCAACTTGCGCATCCATCACTACATTCTAGCCCTGCTGCTGTTGCCAGGCACGAGCATGCAGACGCGACCCAGCCTCTTGTATCAAGGTCTTCTCGTTGGTCTCTTTATCAACGGCATCGCGCGCTGGGGCTTTGACCCTCTGCTGCAGACGGGCGCCTCTCTGCAAGGCGATGCCCAACATGGTTCGCCCCTCCCCGTCATCAGGGCCCCTGAAATCAACCTTGGCGAAGCCCTGTGGACGGCCAACTTCACCTGGGCGACGCCTCCTGCCCCTCGTTTTGACGGCATTAGCGTACTCGTCAACGATGTGGAGAGGTTCCGGACATATTTTGACGATGGCGAAGGCTCCGAGACGAGTTTCTTGTGGGAACGGAAACCAGAGCTGCGTCACAATGAGTATTTCCGCTTCGCATACATGGAGGGCACGCAGACGTGGGACTATACCAAGGCGGGCAAGTGGAACACTGAGGGCGAATGGACTGAGATGAAGGCTGGGCCAAGCAAGGTCCGGGCGCGACAGCTTGAAGAGAGTGAAGTGATTAAGCACAAGCGGTAAGCGGTTTGATGCACATAGATGCATACATAGTCTTGGAGATCTGCGGTGATGGTTTCCCTAGGTCAGTGGATTGATAGTTCGCAGACTTGGACACAGATCACGATGGATTTGATTGCTAGATGGATGCTTAACTAAATACCCAACCTCGAGTCATTCCCTCATACGAATACAAACGTCAATTACAAGCTCCTCGTTTGTCTTCATGGCTACCAAAGTTCGATCATTTGCATTGCAGCAGCATCCTGCTTGCCTCCACAGGATCGATATTTTCTACCTCTCCAGCAACAAGGCAGCTCGAATGCGCCCACACGCTCTGGGGATCAACGTCCAGATGTCCCAGAACACTCCCAATATTACCACTCCTAACTCCGCCCCCAATGATGATCGTCAACCTTCCTTGCGCTTTCCTCGTCACCACCCTCAAGATTTCAATGTTCGCCGGCGCCCGTCCCGGCCCTCCAGACGTCAAGATGGCATCGAAGCCACAGGCAGCAACACTTCGTATGGCTTGCTCGACCTTGGCCTCCTTTTCATCCAGACTGACACCCTCCAGTCCAGCAACAAGCTTGTCAAAAGCCCGATGAAATGTACACACCAAACCTCCTGCCGCCTCCACCAGCTTTGAATTCCTCTCGCGGTCAGCCTCAACCCCATGCGCCCCTCTTTTTAACACTCCAAACACAAACCCATCCCCTCTCTCCGCTTTCAAGCCTCCATCGGCAAGCAACCTCTTCACATCGATGAGCATCGCCTCGAACTCTGCCTCTGAATAGACGAAATCCAACCCTTCAGCGGGGGGTCCCCTTGGCCGAATCATGACTCGATTCGGGATCTTCAACGAAGAAGAGACAGCGCGCAGGTCGTCGAGGGTAGGAGTCAGGCCTCCGGCGGGATACGAGCCTTGTGCATTGAGCTCGATGCGCTGGGCGCCGAGAGACTGGGCGTGAAGAGCTGCCGCCGGGGAGAAGACGGGGATCTCGAGAGATGTGGTAGGCGACATCGTGGTAGTATCGCGGAGCGTGGTCAGCACAAGTCTGGAAAGTAGACAAGACTGTCGGAGAGTGGAAAAAACAAGTCGTGTGCTGTTTTGTTCTGGGATAATGGACGAACTTGGTGAGAGCTTCATGTAACGTTGTAGAGCTCTTAGTCAGCTGGTGGATCTGCCTGTTCCTCAGGGGCTCACGACGTGGCAGAAGATGTTCACACTTGACATGGTCTGGGAAGGTTCTTCGGGTTTTCTCGTATGAAGACTCTACGAGCCATCAGGTGTTGAATGCTGTTCTTGCGCTGCCTACCGTGGTCGGTGTTAAATAGCGTCCTGAACGTCCTCGCAGTCTCTCGTCACAGTAAGTTCTGAAAAGCAAAGTCAATTGAACTAGAGACCAAAGCCAGGCGTCGAACTAAGCAATTTGCCATTGATGTAATCCCCAATACAGGAGCAACCTGCTGAATGGAAGCCCAGCTCATTTATCCTGATTCTTGGCATCCCTAAAACCGACGATGCTTCGTGTCTCCTGAACCATCAGAGACCTTCCTTCAAGAGATGCAACCTGACTGCCACTCATGTCCTCTTCTATGGTGTGCTGGGTGCATATTTTTTCATGTTAGTTCACTGAAGCTCATCGCATTGTACGGGCGACGCGGATCTACTGCTCCTCTCGTGCGTCGTCCTTGAGGTGTCGGCGCCGAATGTCAGCGTTGATTTCAGCGTCAAGGCGCAAGGCCTTCTCAACACGAGCTTGACGAGCCGCTTCAACTTCATCGTCACACCGCTTGATCAACTGACTAGTCTCTTGATCGTCGCCGGTGTCCTCCTCCTGAGTATTGCGACCAGAGGCGGAGTGCTGGCCACCGTTTCCATCAGCAGCAACACCCTCGGTCTGCATGAGTGCAACTCGAGCCAGTACTTCAAGATTGTGTGCATATTCAACCTCTGCGACTGGTTCTTCAGGTTTTACAGGGTCTTGTGCTCTATCACGGTTGGGCTCCAACTGCTGGCTAGCAGAAAAGGCCGGGCCGCTGGAGTTGATCGGAGAGAGTCGGCTGCGGTGCACACTCGCATGTTCGCGATGTGCGACAGTGCGAGCATGGCTGATTTTCTCACTGAGTACTCGATCTCCATGGGTGTTGTACGCATTGATATGGTCGTTTGCGGTGCGATCAGGCCCGGCCAGGGGCAGCTCGCGGTCGGGTGCGAGATCCAGAGCGGGGACATAACCGTAGCTGGAAGTCGTGGCAACGTTATCAAATAGCCGACGAGCTGTTTGGGCCTCAGGAGTACGCGGATATTCAGCTCGCCGCTCGCGCTGTCGGTAGTGATGAGGGCGAGTGTCGGTGGCTGAGCCATGATCAGAGTGGTGTTGTGATGCAGGTTCAGATTCGGTCGTGTCTCCTGAGCGCGGGACGCCCCTGCTATCCGGCTCGGCTTGATGGACATGGTTTTGTCCTTCTTCAGCCTCATACGCATCTTGCAACAGGATAGTGCTAGCGGTCGAGGGCGAGCGTTCGCGCTCATTAGCAATCTGATGCGGACCCTCCACCCGGCCCACATTCTCAAACTGGGCTTCGCCCTCCCAAGTGCGGCTTCCGAGATGATGGTGATTTTCGACAGAATGGACAGCTGCCATGGTATGAGGTGGGCCTTCGTAAAAACCGCGGAACTCCTGGTGCGCATGCCCGCGGGCGCTATTGCCCTGTTGGGCGAGATAGTGGCGTTGATCCGAGCCGGAGGCTTCCTCGCGGGCTCGACTTTCGTAGTCGTCTTGCGAATACGCCGTACGTTCGGGTCCTTGGTCGCTAACGGCGACCTGTGAATACTCGGGGCTTGGTCGCATGGATGGACCTTGCTCGTAGAAGTTGTTGCTGTAGTACGGCTGACTATACTGATTAGTGTAGCGACCAGACATATCATTCTGGAATCGATAAGGAGCTTCCCCATAGCTGGTACGCCACTGCTCGGGGGTTCCTTGGTAATCGGGGGTCTGGACATAGTAGTCCTCCTCGTAGCCACTGAACCCTTGGCCTTGATCCTGGCTACGGCGATAGCCCTGCGAGCGTTCGAACGAAAGCTGGGCATGGTGTTGATTGGCATAATAGTGAGGGCGAGAGTGGCGGTTAGCTTCCAGATGATGAGAATACGGCGAGGCGACCGAATCCCCAACAGGTCGACGGCGGTAGTTCTCGTCGACTGGGGGCAAAGGCCGTTGGTCCTGCATCGAAACACGATTGCGCTCCTGTTCTTTGGCGGTAGGCCCCACGTGAGCGTCCCGAACTTTGCGCCGAGGCCTCATTGGGTATCGACGAGCGCTGCTATTCTCACGATCGCCGGTATCAGAAGGCTCGTGGATGCTGCTCGAGTGATTGCCATCCTCGTTGTCCTCATCGACCATGCGGTTGGCACGCTCAAATGCCTTCTTGGCCTCATTCTCTTCGTCTACAAGGTCCTTTGTCAGTTTGAGGATTAAAAATAGGGTGTGTGGTTACTGACTTTTCATGCGATTATACTCCCTGACGAAGGCGTGGGCGTTGGGGGAAGGTCTGCCTTGCTCAATGTTGAGAAAGTAGTGCTCGACTAGTAGAGCCAAAATGAGACATTCTTAGCCATGATTCCCGGTCATACATTTTGGAAGGTTTTGTGTGAGAATACATACAAAGGCTGAGGGGGGTGTAGGTTCTGCGGGCACCCTCACCCATATGCGTGAACATCTCATCTGTGAGCTGCGTCCAGCTTCTTTCCTTGTTTGCACGATCCTTGCCGACGCGTCTTTGAGAGAAAGGAATGATCTTCCGCTAGAAGACCTTCTCCTCCGCCAATGACCAAGTCTTGCCACCCATGGCGATCGTTTAGCCTCTGGCGTTGTGGGTTCGCTGATGCCTCGTGTTGACTTTCGTGTGGTTCCGTGATTTCGTGGTTTCGTGGTTGTATGGTTTCGTGATTCCGTATGGTTTCACGATTCCGTGTAGTTTCGTGATTCCGTGTGCCTTCCTGCTTTATGCACTTTCGCGTTAGCCCGTGCTATGTTTCGCGTGCTTGTCTGCTTTTATGTAATTTCGTACTGCCTCTGTGTTCTCGTATGCAAAGGAAATATAGCACCCTACAAATGCCATGTATCTTGTACTTTGAAACTTACGACTCATATAAAGACTACCACATGAAGAACGAAATTCGTTTCATGAAAGAGGTAGCCGGAGGGAAGGACGCAGTGCGGTTGCCGGTTTTCCGTATATTATGCTGCACTTCATTCACCGCAATACTTTTGTGAAGAACGAAAAGTAGGGTTTGAAGACTTAAGCAGGAGTACCTCCAGATGCCGGCTTTCGTGTTTCACGTTGCTTTGAAAGGCTGCTTGCTCTAGATATTGGTTTCGCCAGAAAGAGCGGAATCTCAGAATCATTCAAGAAGTAGATGAGGACAACGCAGATAATTAGGGAGAGGCCGGTGGTCCGGGCGCAGGTTGTCGGCGGTGAATGTGAGGGCCTGTCTGCGATAATAAGCCATACATTCAAAGAAGGGAAACCAAGGCAGATGAGACGCAGTCTTGTCGTGAATAAACATGGATAGCTGGACTTCACTGTATACGTCACGGGCTACGTCAACAGCGTACCTACTCTGAGCTGATGATCAAGAACAGCGGGGAATCAAAGCCAAAAGTTGTACATGAATTCGACCCAACATGATGAACATGATTAAACCGGAGATGCCATGTCTGCTTATGTGAGACGGAAATGTTAAACAGCAGCATCTTTGACAGGACCTGCTCTCATTATGACAGAGAGGGGCCGAGAGAATCTCTTAACTCTCCTCCTAATCATACAACGCCAGAAAAGACATAATGATGCATGACAATACGCAAGTAGATTGCAGGTAGGTATCTTTCGGTTGATTGTTGTGGCACTGTGCGCCTGGCCCAGGAGTTAGACAAATGATGCAGACCGTGCCTTTTTTATTCGAATTGACTCGACGGATCTTGGGTTTGGTAGCCCCTCGCTAGCAGTGAAGCGGCTAGCCTTCTTTCTAGTCGGGAGAACTGTCGAATGGTTCAGTGAAGAGCAGTTACAATGCAACTTGGGCCAACAACTTACCATGCTCTTCTCTTTATTGGGAACGACACCATCCTTGACCCAAAAGCCCCAGCTACCCATCATATTGGCCATCATGATATCAGTACTTAAGCGGTCTCCAACAATAGCAACTTGTGATGGATGGGAGACGCCAGTTTCAGGGTGTTGCCTAAAGTACTCCATGATCTCGGTACCGCAGCCAGGCTTCTTCGATGAGTGAGGCAGCACAGTGAGGCCTGTCCCTTCCTCGAGCTCTGCAGCCATGGCTAGGTTCCTGTCATAACTGGTTGCACCCGCAGTGTTCGACACTATGAGAAGGCGACGGCCAGGATACGCTGCCTTCAACTCCTCGAAACGGGTCTAGACAGGTTAGTGATTGGATGCAGATTCTATCTGGGAGCATACTTGCCTCATAAGGTTTGTATACATGATTGGTTTCGGGAACTGCGAAACAGTCGTCTTTGTCCAAGACGACGGCTCTGATATCGGCTTTCCTGCCTTGTGCCTCGAGGACCTTGTTCAAGGGTATTGGTAGATCATTGAATGTAGAGACGGTTTGGTGCGGAAGGCAAAGAGAAGGCCTGGCAATGAGTTTGAAGATATTCAAAGACGCGGAAAGATTGAGATTCATCATGTGATGCCAGGCTTTGATGAGCGACCGAAAGGGTGATGAGAGTTGTATCCAAGGAACTGAGAGCACTCTGGTCGCTTGTCGTCGGCCGCGGTTGACAGCTTTAGAAGCTTGGACCACATTTCTCGGCAGACACTTCGCGACTCGGCGTCGAAACGCGTCTTCCAATCTAATGGGTCAGCACCGTCAAAGCCTAAATAACGTCGAAAACCGCAAGCATCGCCGACGCAGTGACCGATTCTTGCAAAATGGTTCGACGGAAACCCCTACAAGAAGAGGCAGCCGAATCGCCAAGCCGATCATCAGTCAAACGAGCCCGACCAGACCCGGAGGATGGCAACGACACAGTGGCGGATACCCCTTCGAAAAGGCAACGAGGCTCTCTTCAGCTCAAACAGATTGCAGATGTCTATGATGTGCCCGACGACGATCTTCCGAAAGATTCAGCATCGGAGATCGAGCAACCAACACCAACCCCCAAGAGAAAACGAGGACGGCCTCGAAAGGATGCGACACCGCAGACCAACGGTATCGCGACACCCTCCAAGTTGCGACAATCACAAAACCTCGAAACGCCAACAAAATCCACCGGTGCCAATGGCTTTACTCCACGGAAAAGGGCGGCTGTAGACCGTTCTGCCAAGCGAAAGAGTGCCAGGGCGCTGATTGAGCGCGTCGTTGGCGACGACATCAGCGAGGAGGAGGATGAAGGTGGGCTTGCCAGGGCCATTTATGAGTCGAGCGAAGACGAGGACGAGGACGACATAGAAGCTGCGGCAGCGACAACCCCATCGAAAAAGACTCCAGCACGAAAGGGGCGGCCGCCAAAAATACGATCACCGACCCCTCCACGCGATCTTCCTGCGCACGAGATGTACTTTGAACACAATAAGCCCGGCCGTACCAAAACCTCCAACAACACCCTCGCCTCCATCGACCTTCTCACGCACGACGAGTACTTCTCTATAATCCGAGACCTCAAAGACCCTCACGCTGAGGACCTCGTTTTCCTACAATCCCTTCATGAGGGCTCTTTCGGCCAATGGTCTTTCGAGCTCGCCGAGGGCTTCAGCCTATGCCTCTACGGGCTCGGCTCCAAGCGCGCGCTCCTCACGCGTTTCGCAGAACACACCTATGTAAAGATTCAGAAGCACGACCGTCACAAGATTGTCATCGTGAACGGCTACGTGCGAACCATCACTCTGCGCGACATTCTTAACACAATCGCCTCCACCCTCGCCCTCGACCCAACCCACAAACTGCCCGCCCAACCGCCCGCCATGCTACAGGCCCTGCTCTCGCACCTCACAGAAGCCGGCGTGACCCTGACCCTCCTCCTCAACTCCATCGACGCCCCGCCGCTGCGCAAGCCCGCAACGCAGCAGGCCCTCGCCGCCCTCGCGGCGCACCCCAACATTCGCTTTCTCTGCTCGGCCGACACGCCCGACTTTTCTCTCCTCTGGGACGCCGCCCTCCGCGCCTCGTTCAACTTTCTGTTCCACGACACCACAACATTTGCCAAACCGGCGGCGGAGCTCGACCCCGTGGACGACGTCCATGACCTCCTTGGCCGTCGCGCCCGCGCCATCAACGGCAAGGAGGGCGTCGTCTTCGTGCTGGCCAGTCTGCCGGAGAACGCGAAGAGCCTCTTCCGTCTGCTGGTGGCCGAGGTGCTCATTGCCGCCGAGGACGGCGATGACGGGGATGACAGTGCGGCCGTGGAGTACCGCATGCTGTACAACAAGGCCGTCGAGGAGTTCATCTGCAGTTCGGAGATGGCGTTCCGTACGCTGCTGAAAGAGTAAGGTTGCTCCCTGTGTGCGAGCAAGCCACGACACGCGCTAACTTTGCGAACAGGTTCCACGACCATCAGATGATTACGAGTAGCAAGGACGCCATTGGGACGGAGTTGCTAAGCGTGCCATTCCGCAAAGATGAATTGGAGGGTATTTTGGAGGAACTGATGACATGATGCTGCCACGTAAAGCATTTTGCGCTGTAGTGTTTGGAAGCCAAACGAAGGGTCTGGCGGCGTCCCGGGGAGAAAGGAGAATAAGCGTCAAGCATGGCAATAGGTGGTCCACGGCATTGGTGCCTATACAGGCTGGCGTTATGGCTTCATACACATTCAGAGGTCAGTTTGTAGCGTTGCTTCTGCTCACACTCACCTGGTCCTTGCGTAGTAGATATCAAGTTGCCTGCAAGACGTCAGGCGCTGCAAGACGTCAGGCGTTCCTCTGGTCTTTCAGCCTCAGGGACCTGGCACCAATGCTGGCGAACAAATATCGGTCGACAGCTCATGTAATCAATGCTTCGTTAATTCGTTGGAATGCCTCTACCACATAAATAAACCCCAGCCCTCGGGTCACTGACCATATGTAGATCGCTCTCCCCGCTCTCCAAACGCCATTAAATCCCACGAGGTCACACAACCACTTATCTACACGCCCAAACTTTTTACGCACGTCCACAGAACAATAGGTACAATGACGTTGTCGTTGCCCCCCGTGAGCACCGCCTCGGTCAAGCTCGCCATGCTCCCGCACACGCCGGCGTTCCGTGCCGCAACCGCCCAGGTCGTCTGCTGCTTGGCAGCCACATGCCACCCGCCGACACGCAGCCACGTCGTCGCCGACATGAGTCCTACAAAGACAGCGGCGGCAAAGGCGACGCTGCCCTCAAGGCTCTTGCCACCACCCCAGATCCACTTCTTATGGCCGTAACGGCGGCCGATAAGGGAGGCGGCGGCATCGCCGAGGCCAACGCAGATCACGCCCGCGACCATGCTGACTTCGCGGGTCGGGACCTCCCAGCCGGCGAGGGGATCGTCTTCGAGCTTTGCGGACGAGCTGCGGGGCAGAGTCGCAAGTGCGAGCCAGAGAGGGATAGCGCAGCCGATCAGGAGAAAGATGTGTGAAATCACGACAGGGCCCTTGTTATCGCGTCCGTCGACATAGGGAGTGAGGAAGGATGCGATTGGGCGCGAGAGAGGCGGGAGCTGGCTGGCGCGGAGAAGGTCGACGACGAGGAAGATGGCGAGGGCGAAGGACAACGCAAGACCAACAAACACGGGGTCAACGTAGGTTGTTGGCAGAATCATGGCGACCATCATGAAGTGAAAGACTTTACGCCTCGTGTCGACCTCGAACTTCGGATCCAAGTTGACCACGACGATCAACCCGAATGCGATGACGATTAGCCAGTAGACACCTATGAGGAGCCTTGTGTTTGCCTCTCCAAAATCAGCGTGGCGTATGTGCTGCACCCATCCGAGGTGACAGGACTCATGAATGTCATCCAGACGCGGAGGGATAAAGATCCAGCGCTCTAAGTCGTTGCTCACGACTTGAAACCTGAACCATGGCAGGTCGCCGAATAGGTAGCCCAACGCCCAACCTATCGCCTCATGACCGCTGAGAGCGTAGCGGCCAATGTGATCCCTTGTTGGGAGTAAGATAATCAATACTATGCCAACATGCACGTACGCTGAGTAGATCCACCTTTTCACCGTGGCCTGCGTCTCTGTGAGTCGGAAGAAAGACCGCACGGTAGTTGAGGATGTTCGTTTCCTCCTGCCCGAGTGGGTATGCGTCATGGAGCGCTGAGGACGATTCACGACGGGCATCGTGCTGGTTCTGCCGAACGCGAATCCATTTGCCGAAGGGGACGGCACACTTGCCGATGTTGAACGACCTAGACTACCAGCCTGATGCGAGTTGAGGTCGCTAGCTGTGAAGGTACGCACGCGTGATGGCTTCATCAGAGGACCGTTTGCTGTGTCCTCGTCTGAATCAAACACTTCGGACGCGGATTCTTCGGTTGGTGACCGCAAAAAGTCGCGTTTAACGCGCTGTGGCAACAGTGCATTTTTGACCAGGCCAAACCATGACCCGTTGGGGGAGAAGGAGGTACGCCTGAAGCGAAGCCTTGGTACCCTAGCCAAGGCGATGCCCCATCGTATGACTGGCCCACACAACGCCAATACAGTGACGCCACCCACCCATAGCAGTGACTGCAATATGGTGGCCTGAGGTGAATGGGCGAGAAGAAGGACGTTGATGAGCCCGATAGAGAGGAGTTGCAGCTCGGCTGTGAGCAGACTGGTCGTCGTCATGTGATGCAACACCACCAGGAGCGATTGGTGTAAAGGGTACAGCAGGACAGCCGTCTCAGGATCAATGGTCGGCCTGTCTGGTCGGATGGTTGCCATAAGATCTTTCGGTTGTGCGCGTGCCATGGCCAGCGGGATACAGGACAGGGCCCAATGAAAGGGGCTGATGACCTCGGGAGGCTGGGCAGTCGGGATCAAAAATTTGGGTATGGCGCTGATGCTCAGGATGATATTGGGGAGCACAACCCCACGATTATCCATTGCCACAAGAAGTGAGACCAGCATGGTGATGCAGGGAGGGTACAATATGGATGCTGGGTCGAAAACAGTTGGTATGGAGAACGGAGGCCATGTTGGAGGGTTGCGATTCCGGTACGCCCATGAAACAAGGCGCACAGGGTAGAGAAGCATTAGCGATGCTGATAACGCCACTATTAGGGAAAGTTCTGCATAAATTAGTACACTCGACCTCTTACATCTTTTACGGCCACATACCTTGATTCCATTCTCTCAAAATGAGCCTTACGGTATCATTGGTCCAAAGAATACCGAAAAGAACTCCAGAGATGATGAACTCGAGGGTTCGTCGGATAAGCTCCTTTGTGCGCCGGTAGTTTCGGTCTTCCCAGAAATTGAGCTCCTTTTCCGGTTTCTCTTGGCCCTCCCCAAGCTTCCCATGGCTGCTACGGTCCCCAAAGTATGCTGGCGAGGGGAGTGGCGAGGATGTCCCCGATATGAGCTCGTTGCGCCCGCGAAGCCCCTTGTGCGATGGTATTCTAGGCGCGGGCAAGCCCTTCAGAAAGTGTTCGTCATCGGCTTCGGTACCGCTGTCGCTGAGAGGCGTCGACTCCTTTGTGAATGAAGGGAACGGCGACGGCGGCTCGCTGCTGTCGTCGGAGCGGGCGGGGGACGGCGCCGATGTTGGGCCCGCCCCAGAGGTCGCGGGGAACGCAAAGCGATGCGCAGCATGCGGGAGCTCGGCACTCAGGTGGTGGTAAGGATGAGGTGTTCGGTTCAGAGCTCGGAGCTCATCGATGTCGTTTGCATCGTCGCGCGGGGCGAGTGATTCGGGTTTGAGGCGATCGGGTGGCATAGCTAGAGGTCGGTCTGTCACGGATTCGCGGCCACCATTTGAAGACGCCAACAAGGGGAGCTCCAGGATCGAGACCTCTGTGAAGGTACACGGCAGGGGATGATGCGCCGGAGAGCGGGTGTCTCACGTCATGATACGATGCCAGGATGACGACGTTGTTCGAGTCGATATGGAGTCTCGTCGGTCAGAAGGGCTGCGGGACCTAGCAGAGTGGAGAGCTCTCGGATGATACTTTATCACATGAAAGAGGATGCCGGTGTCCATCTGTTGAGGATGGTACAGGATAGACAGGGGCTTTCAGCCGCGCGGCGCCTCAAGAGGGCGCTAAATGCGAATCTGTGGGGATTTGTCGATGATGTAAGCTGAGCCATCGCAGCCGGTTGCAGCTGCCTTAATAGTGGAGTGCCAGCCGGCTCGCGATACCTTCGAAAGATTGAACATTCTGGATGCACCTCATCCCCAAGATATCTTCCCCTCTTGCGTGACTCCATAAACTGAACGCCTCCAAGGACTGCAGACAGTCGTCCACATTGAGGCTCCTCATGAAGCTCGTCATTTGAGCCCGGCATGAGAGTTCAGCACGAGTGGAGGGCTTGGAGGGCAGCCATCATTGTCACTGCATCTGACTTCTCTGTGCAGCATGGTCCGAGGGAAAGCCAAGCTGGTCTTATCGAGGTTATCCAGGAGAGATTACAGCGTTATGTGACACTTTGGATGGGAGGTAACAGTGTGACAGAAACGTCACCGACCACATTCCACCATTCGATCGTTGAACGTCTATTCTCTTGTCTCTTCCCAGACGAAAATGTGGTAGATTCTCAGGAAAGGCGGAAGAATAGGCCCCGCGGTTGGCTGGTCCACGAACTCACTCTCAGGGACTAGACTGCAGTGCACTTAATCTCAGGTGCATCAGGACAAGGGGCTGTCGTAGCCGTCAGCAGGCAGATATGAAGGGCCAAGGCTGTGATTCATATATATTAAATCTGTCAACATGTTCACATCCGTTCTAGTCATTCATGCCGGACTCATCTCGACTCGACGAGCAACACACGGCCTGTCCGGATGCGAGGCAAGAACGAAGAAAGCAAATGTCACTTGTTGGCGGGGCTTCTTCCGTCGCTCAAACGTAATCGTAGCAGCCAGCCTTGGCCCAGCAAGCAGTGGCCCCGACTGACCTGTCATACTCTTCTGACAAGTGCATGCGGTAGCCCAGGACAACAACGACACGACATGACTGACAGGAGGCACAGGAAACTTAGCTGAAATGAGGGACGAAAGCCCACGTACATGTATCGTCACTCCCCACACCGAGAGTGAGAGCGGTGGTGGCTGAGCAGGGGGGCGTTGCAATGCTGCTTCAGGAGAGGGAAAAACGCTCCGCCCGGCAGTTGGGCTGAAGCAACCCCCCCCCCCCCCCCCAACCCCAGCCTACCTACCTTGCCTTATTACCAAGGTACCTGTCGAGCTGACCATCATTGAAGCCACATTGCTCCTTGCGTCTCACCATGGAGCGTTTCGACCCAGTCGGCAGCTTCTGTTCAGCTGACGGCACACATTCAACGGCGTTGGATGGGGCACAACGATTCATCCATCACACACCTTCTTCTCGCTTATCGTGAAGCCCCCCAAACCCAGAGCTCTCCCTCCCCCACCGCTCCGCAGCAGGTTCAGCTGAGTGAGGTGAGTCGAACTTGGGACGACGCCAGCCTCCCCGTTCCTCGGGTTCAGGTGGGACGACGAGTTTTGCAGCCGAACCTTGAGTGATGCACAGGCGAAGACGGTGGAGGCCCGCCGCCGCCACCACCCCAGCACGCGAGTAACGATGACGAGCGAAATATCAGTCTCGACACACACATGAGGTGCACAGTCGGTTTTGTCTCTTTGGTCCTAAATACAGTCATCAATCTTGTGAACAGGCAAGTTGACTAAGAGATGCCCTTGGCGGACGAATCTTGGGGCCACTCTTCGACAAGGGAGCCTATGAGCAGCTTACTCAGAATGGGATTACGTCTCGGTCCGCCAGGTCGCCGGCCGTATCGCCCAGAACATCTTCGTAATCGTTGAAGAGGCGTGGCCCTGGTACATACATTAGCGCGACCTGCAAGGATTACGAGTATCGGTTGCTGGGTCCCGGCGATGGCCTAGCGTCGTGTCCCAGCCTCCGAGAGAGCCCCAGAGCTTCGTTGTGTCCACTGGGAGCGAACGCGGTCAGGAGATGGAGATCGTATGCCTATTCTTATCTGTTCGTCGGAATCCGTGGCCGAGCTCGAATGAGATGCTCTGTGTCTCCAGTGGGAAAGGGTGGCGAAGGCGAAAACGTCAAGGATGGGCAAAAGAAGGCACACGAGGTGCCAGCACAGCAACCATGTCAACGAATTAGGATGACCGAAACCGACCTCCCCAAAACAGCCTCCAAAAGCTCGCCCAAGAAGCTGGGCATGTGGCGCGGAAGGCTTGGAAGTTCACGGCCAATTATTGTCTAATCGCGACCCCCCACCTGAAGCGCTCAAGTGTCTGGGCTGCTGCTTGCACAACTCAACTCGGTCGACATCCATGCGGGCTCCAATTGAGGACAGCCAGCCGGTCAGCCGATGCATCAGAAACAACGAAACGTTGGGTTTAATTGATGCACATATCATGACAACGCAAGCAAACCTTCTCAGCCCCTCACAACGGGCAAACGTCATACTATCACCGTGGCTCGTATTGCGCCGGCACTACCGCACTTTTAGCCTCGCCTGCCTCGGCGCGCGGGCGTAAGCGATGACAAGGTGACGCTACAGAGGAGTCGAAGGGGGGTCGAAGAAAGAAAGGGATTAAAAAAAAAACGACACCCAACAAAATGGAGCAATACGAGTCGGGCAGCTCTCTGAAGAAAGAAGCACGAGCCCCAGTGATGTCACAGGGGACCCTCGTGGTGTCCTACGGCCCGTCAGCTTTGTCCGCCGGATCATCGGCGGTTCAACGAGCACAGCATTCCACTGCGAGCACGGCCAGGAAATATTGTTGGCGTTGCATCAGACGGTAATTACTCGACGGCGAAGCCCTCGTTGACCAGCTGGGCTGTCATCCATCCGAGCTTTTGGGCCGGGGCTACGGCCAGGGCCAGGGAAGGCTGCCAGGCCAGTCAGTGCGAATGGCCGCACTTCGCCGCCCTCGCAGCCGTCACAGCCGCAGGTTTGCTGGGCGCACGACAAGACGATATGGGTATTGGGCCGACGAGGGTACGATTGCAGGGATACTGGCCGACCAGAGAGGCGAATCGACCATTAACGTGTGCAGGCAGGCCGAGGCCGCCCCCTGGTCGTAAACACTCCAAGACCAAAAACGCGATATCATCCATTGGATTCCTTGCAGCCTGGGTCATCGACAGCCAATTCTCCTCCCCATCTCCCTCCGCCAGCTGCATTCGTCGCCCGCTCTCGTCTCTCTTTGCCTCGCCACCACATCCCAGCAAGTGTACCCACCCCCCACTAGCAGAGCCCGATCGCCGCGTCCGCCCATCTTCGTGTTTGTGGTGTCTAAGACTATCGGCGACGCCTCTGAGCTTCCGGCGCCGGCCCAGCACTACCTGGTAGACCCAAAGCCTGCCCTGAAAATATCTCTCCGGGAACACTAGCCCCGCGGATACCGTTCGACTGTTACGCTGCCGCTACCAACGCACCCGACCGAACAAGGCAGCGAAGAGGCCAGAGCTTCCTCGCACACCACAAACCCCTTCGACGGTGCCTCCTAGCTTGCTCCATCCGACCCTCTTCCAACCCCCAGCATCGTGCGAGTACATCATCTGTCGTCAACCATCCTGCATATCCTGCCTGCTTGCCCCTCACCACCTCGATCGTGTTGACACCGGAGCCTCTCGGTCGCGTCTCACAACTCTCCTCCTCCTCCCTCCACCCCACAAACATTCGCTCTTTTTTTCTTTGGTTTGCCTGTCATCGACCAAGCCTGCAGAGCCGCTAAAACCGCCCTCGTCATACCCCAAAAACCTACTTCTTGGCTCTTGGGCTGCTTTCGCCCTTCCATTCGCTCCTGATCGACCCGCTGCGTTAGGAAAGGTAGATCCGTCAAGCCTCCTCCGCTCGCCCTCACTCGCCCTTCTCGACAGCAGCAGTCCTCATAAAACCATTCCTCAACCCACCTTCTTTGGCTCGTCCTCGGTCTCGGCCACCACACTCGCTACAATGGCTTCCGACAAGCTCAATGACACCAATCTGGAGGATGGACTGCTGACTGTCGCTTCCGATGAGAAGAGGACCCTCATGACGAACACACCCACGTCGCCCTCGACACAAACCCCCAGGCCCAACAGGATGGCACGAGCCTGCCGCCTCACGGCTACCTTTGCCGTGTGCCTCTTCATCGGCTATGGATTGACTTCTGCTGTCGTTCCCTCGATGAGGTGTACAGGACACCATGCCCACGGCGCTGCCGCTGGTCAGCCTTTGATGTCCGAGTCGCGGATGGAGCTGTCTCAACAGGTCGCCAAGGCCGTAAAGGCTGCAGAGCCCGAGTCTCTTCACCGCTTGGTGGAGGCGTACATCCACGAAGAGGCCAAGGAGGGTGAGTCTGTTCAGGAAGACCTCTCGACGGCTAGGGCTCGCCTTGCCCGGCGTCAAGACAACCTGACGTCGGATATCCCTGCGAACCCGTCGGCGTCCGCTGGCTCTCCTTCAGCAGCACCTTCCGGTCCTGCCTCCCAGCCCACAACATCAGGCTCACCAACTCCCTCTGTCCAGCCCTCGTCTCCTACCCAGGATCCTGTGCCCTCGACTCCCACGACATCGGGCACTCCTAGTGTGCCCAGCACGACTCCGGCCCCCGCTCCTTCGACGCAGCCCCAGACCACGACAACGACTTCTTCGCAGCCGGCACCGTCGCCGTCGTCAGCTGCGGTGTCGACAACCACTCAGCCGGTACCCTCTTCTTCGACCAGCACAACAGTCACCTCAGCAGCAGCTCCTACTTCAGATTCTGGTACGTCTACGTCGCAAGAGCCTCCTGAGACTCCTTCTACATCTTCTACTGCTCCTGTCACCACTTCTACTACTTCCTTGACTTCCATCCGTACGTCTCAATCGTCTCCCAATTCTCCCTCCTCCACATCTACACGTCCTCTTCCCACGACTTCCACGCGTACGTCTGGATCGTCTCCCAGTACTCCTACTACATCCTCTACTACTACTTCCACTACCCTCGTGACTTCCAACCGTACGTCTGGATTGTCCTCCAACCCCCCTGCCCAACCTCCATCTCCCCCCACATCCACCTTTCCCTCGTCCCCTTCCATTGCCACCGTGTCGTTTGAGGGACCGTCTGTGGTCACGCCAACGTCTTCTTCTCGTGTGCCAACGTCCGTGGTAGAATCGTCACCCGCAGTGTCCTCCCAGTCTTCATCCACTACTAGGAGAACTACTACGACCGCCGATGGTATGTCATGTACCCTCGTTGCACTTTATGCGTCGATCGTTATTTGGCCTTGGTTGCTTTCTTTCCAGAGCTTAGGGTGTCAGTCCTGTGCAGGCCTATTCTACACGCAGTGATGATGTTTCGGAAGGGCGCGCTTCCATACTTTGATCTGAGCAATACGCTGACATGTGTCCCAGAAACCACGACTCGTGGTGAGACGACCACCAGCACCACTCGTCGCCCCACATCATCGAGCGCAGTGGTGACGACCCGCACCTCGACCGAGGCCGATGGCGACATCACTCTCGTCACTGAAACCTCGTACGTTGGTGTTGATCCGACGCCCCAGGCCACCTCGGACTCCAACTCGGATGACGCCGATCTGCAGAACGCGGCACCTCGCATGAGCAGCAGCGCCCTCGCTCTTTTCGCCGCCTTGGCTGCCGGCATGATGCTTCTGTAAATTCGGAGAGGAAGCGCAGCTCGTCGAGCTTTTTGATTTACCGCGATCCCTCACTCGTGTGGCCAGGACATTCATTGTTCCGAAGGGCCCGCTGTGGAAGGGCCTCCAAAACCAACAATCGATGTATCAGCATTCATAATCGTCACGACTATCACGGCAGTTCACTCCTTTTGCATACATCAACCGGCGTAATCAACATAGTACAGATCGTTTTACATAGAACTGGCACGAGGAGAGTAATCTCGTGTCTCGGGGCCGAACGGTATTTGAATTTATTGGAAGGGCTGGTATACGGGTTGCCCTGGAAGATAGAAGGTCACGGGAGAGAAGAGGCTTCAAATGAACAGTGATCGCCTTTTAGCTTGTTTTCCGATGTGACGTGATGACAAGAATGTGAGAAACTTGAGACACGCTGGAAAGGGTCATTTCGTAGCTGTGTATTCTACCTAAACCCCGTAGCACGTGAAGTCAGGTGGTTCGCCTCTAAGACTATGTCAGGTTGCGTATTTTGGAACCTTCAGCTTGGTCCGGTATAAGCGATGTGACAGGCTCCAGCGCGCAGCCAATTTCACAGCGAATGAGACGCAGAGGAAATGCGATCTCGCATAGCACGAGCGAAGAGCACAGGCAGGTAGGTGTCGACATTGCATTCCACCGACGGGTATCCCAATCCCTCCCCTACCAAAAAAAAAACGCCAGCCCAATTCAAACAAGCAGAGTCTTCCATTATCTCGTGAGTGTCCGTCTAGCCCGGCCCGATCTTGGGCATGTCGTGATGCTCGCTCAACTTGGACAGGTACGTGTTCAGCTCCTCGACACGCTCCTTGTGCGTCTTCATTAGTTCTGGCCTTCCAGACTTCCCTGACATTTCGAGTAGCTGGAAGAAAGAAAAGGTCAGCATCGTGGCCAGCCTTGATACGGACAGGTTTCGGAGAGACAGACTCTCTTGCGCTTCCTCTCCTCGAACCGCCTCTCTGCTTCCGTCTTGCGACTCCCCGACTCTTCCTCGTGCTCCTCGGTATCTTCGGCGTGCTCGTCGTCGTCTTTCTTCCCCTTCTTCTTCTCGTCGGCATTCTCCTCTTCGGTCGCGGGGTTGCGCCGTGCGACGGCTGTGGAGGACTCGCCGCCGGAGAGATTCTTCTCGAGGTCGGTCTTCTCCTTCTTCTTCTTTTTCGGCTTGCCGACCTTGGCGCCCTTCAGCTTGAGGCCACCGCCGCCGACTGAGGCGTAAAGGTCGGATGGCATGGCTGTGATGTGTTGGTTGGGAGGGCTCGGTCGATACTGAGGGCACCCATCGGAGGTCGCGTCAGTGCGAGGCTGATCCCGACGACAGGCTGAGCCGGTTGGTGAAGGCGGTGGGTGACTCAGCAGGATACAGAATGCAGTGCGGGTGCGAGGCCAATCATGGGTTGATCCGAAGGGGGGGGCCGTGCATGGGCGTGACGAGCGAAGCCGAGATGGAGGGAATGCGGGCGGCAGATGTGGAGAGACAGAGCACCACTCATCCATCATAACAGGCAAGGAAAGGACCAGGCAAGCCAGGCTAGGCCAGACCAGTACCAGTACCGGCTTCTGCATCTGCATCCCAGTCTGGACTTGACCGTCTGGTTGGTCCCCTTTCCCCCCATTCCACTTCCCCATTGACGTTGTTGAGCACCACAAAGAGATTTCGATTATCACCATCACGAACCCGCCCCTTTTGCTTGTCCCATTAGTTTTGCTTCGTTGTATAACTCTTGTATCGAACTCGAGCACCCTTTGGATACGGCCTGCCGACCACGTGCTTTTCGATATCCCGTGCATAGCCGATCTTGCGACACCCAGATCCCCTCGAACACGAAACGACGTCACGAGCAAACCTCACGAACAGAAGAACATTGATTGCCTTGGCCCAGACACGACGACACAACGAACACGACCAAACCTTCATCATCCTATCATCATTGAATCTAGTCTTTTGTCGACTGCTGAATCTCGAAATGCAATAAGCTGGGCGCGACCCCGAAGGACCTGAAGCCGCGCAAGGAACCGGCAAACCACCCCAAGACGACTCCCTTGCCATACTCCACGATGCCCTCCCAGTACTCCTCTTTCCAAGGCGGCCACGCCCGCGACTCTCTCGAGCTCGCGTCTCTCGCCTCTTCCTCACATGCCGCCGACACCGTCTCAGAAGGGGGCCTTCCCTCCTCTCGCGCCTCCCTGTCGTCGTCTCGAAAGCTCTCCTTTGACAATGAAGACCCCCTTGACGCCTCCAATCCAGCAGCCGGTGGGCGCCATCGGGCATTCTCCGTCTCCTCCGCCTTCGATTTTGCTCCCAACCTTTTCCCTCTGAGTTCCACAGCTGGTGGCGCAGGATATGCGCCCATAGGGGGCGCCGCCATCTCTTCGACCGCCATGAACTCCAGCGGCGGCATGGGCGGCGGCACTCTCGAGAAGAACAAGACTCTGACATACATGAACGGACTCAGCCTCATCGTCGGCCTCATTATCGGATCCGGTATCTTCAGCAGTCCCAGCCAGGTCAGCGCCAGAGTGGGCTCACCTGGCGCGGCGCTGGTCGTGTGGGTGATTGCCGGTGTGCTGGCGTGGACGGGCGCGGCGAGCTACGCGGAGCTCGGTGGTGCTATTCCGTTGAACGGAGGGTCGCAGGTGTATCTCGCGAAGATCATGGGCGAGATTGCAGGTTTCCTGTTCACGTGGTGCGCGGTGCTCGTCTTGAAGCCAGGGAGCGCTGCCATCATATCCATCATCATGGGAGAGTACCTCGTGCGAGCGGTCATGGGTGCGGATGCGGCCGACATCAACCCTTGGGTAAACAAGTCGGTGGCGTTTGTCGCGGTGCTGACCGTCACATTTCTCAACTGCGTCTCGACCAAGTTAGGGACCAAGGTGAACGACTGGCTCATGTTTCTCAAGTTCGTCGCGTTGCTGGGTGTGACGGTCATTGGCATCGTCGTGGCCATCACGGGCTTCACCTTCAAGGGGGAAGCGAGCATGGACTGGAAGTCGGGCAACTGGTTTGCGGACACTTCATCGGACCTGTCCATGTGGGCCCTTGCGCTCTATGCTGGTCTGTGGGCGTATGACGGTTGGGACAACGTGAGTTGCCTCATTTCGTACCTTGTGTTCATGGTCCGTCTCTAACTCCTTTCACAGACCAACTACGTCGTCGGCGAGTTTCGCAACCCGTCTCGTGACCTGCCTCGCGTCATCCACACGGCGATGCCTCTTGTCATTCTGTCATACGTTCTCGCCAATGTCGCATACTTTCTCGTCCTGCCCATGGCGACCATCAACGCCTCCAACACGATTGCCGTCATGTTCGGCGCCCAAGTGTTCGGCCCCGTCGGCTCGCTGGTTCTTGCCCTCATTGTGTCGGCATCCTGTTTCGGCGCTCTCAACTCTTCGACATTTACCTCCTCTCGTCTCGTCTACGCCGCCGGAAAGGAAGGGTACATTCCCTCCATCTTTGGCCGTCTCGGCCTGCGATCCGGGCCCGATCACTCGACGACTCAGACGACACATCTCTCGATGCAACGTTCTCGCGGCCGCGCCGCCTCGATTGCGCGCCGTCTCTTTGCGGACCCAGAAGTTGGCCTCTTCTACACGCCCATCCCGGCGCTGATGCTCAATGCCGCGCTGACGACGGCGTACATCCTGGTTGGCGAGTTTGGCACGCTCATCACGTTCTACGGCGTTGCCGGCTACACGTTCTACTTCCTCACGGTCTTGGGCCTCATCATCCTGCGCGTGCGCGAGCCGACACTTGAGCGGCCCTACCGCACGTGGATCACGACGCCCATCATTTTCTGCTGCGTGTCGCTGTTCCTCCTGTCGAGGGCCGTTTTTGCGCAGCCACTTCAGACACTGACTGTGATTCTCTTTGTGCTCGCCGGCGTGCCAGTATACTTCTGGCGTATCCGCGGGCGCGATCAGGTCGCCAAGCGCGAGAGAGCCGGAGGCTACGGCGACTTGGGCGGAAGCGAGAGACGGCCCTGGTGGCGGTTCTGGTGAGGTTCGTGAGCATAGGAGAGGGGCGTAATGTTATTGTTTCCTGTTTTTACCCCTCCTCCTCCTCCTCCTCCGCTCACGCTTTGGTGTACAAAAAAAAACGGGGATGGGTTTTGGATAAACTTGACTGGGGCGGTAAGGCGAGAGGGGAGGGAATGTTTCTCCACTGGAGTACGGTACGGGCTTGATGACTGCATCATAGAGAGTTGTGACGCTCGCAACGAGCGATGTTTGGGGGGAGGTGGGGGGCACGTGGTGTTCAGAAGGCCAGGCAGGATTCAATGAACATTTGTTCTAGTTATTTTTGTAATCACGACGCAAGCTGCGATGAACGGAAGAAAAGCACAAAAAGCTTTTGGGTCATGACTTCGTTTGCATTACTCTCTCTCACTCTCTCACTATCTTCACTGTCTCATGATACAGGTGATGCCCTTCCGACACAGTAAGGTAAAGGAAAAAAAAAAAGACAAAAATGCTGTTGTCCCGTTTCTCAACATGCAGAGGCCAGCGCCAGGCCTAGACGTTGGTCTGCCTGCTCTCCTTGCGCTCGCCGTAGGCCTTGGTGGCGTAGTCGCCCTTGTAGACGATGAGGTCCTCGGGGCGGTAGTCGTGGCGGCCGCTGAAGTAGCTCTCGAGAATGGCCTTTGTGCCGTCGGCGTAGCGCTTCTGGGCGTCGAGCGAGGTGCCGGACATGTGGGGCACCATGGCGTTGCCGCCGCCGAAGGGGTTCTTGGCGGTGCGCAGGACGTGGTCGCCGGGGGCGGGCTGGGGGAACCAGACGTCGCCGCCGTAGCCGGCGAGGTGGCCGCTCTTGAGGGCGTCGGCGACGTCCTCCTTGACGACGATGGCGCCGCGGGCCGTGTTGATGAGGTAGCTGCCCTTCTTCATCTTGGCGATGAGGTCCTTGTTGAAGAGGCCGCGCGTCTTCTCGTGCAGCGGGCAGTTGATGGTGACGACGTCGCACTGCGCCAGCAGGTCCTCGAGCTTGTCGACGCGGCGGCAGCCAATCTCCTTCTCCTTCTCGGCCGACAGCGGCTGGTAGTCGTAGTAGAGGAGCTCCTTGCAGTCAAAGGGCTTGAGGCGGCGCAGCACGCGCTCGCCGATGCGCCCGACGGCCACGGTGCCGACGACCTTGCCCTCGAGGTCGTACTCCTGCTTGGCGGCCGCGGCCACGTCCCATTCGCCGCGCTCAATCTGTTCGTGCGCCGGCACAAAGTTGCGGATCAGCAGCAGGATCGTCATGACGACGTGCTCGGCCACCGAGACGACGTTGGAGCCCGTCACCTCGGCCACGGTGATGCCGCCGTTGGTCTTGTTGGCGGCATTGAGGTCGACGTGGTCTGAGCCAATGCCGGCCGTGATGGCAATCTTGAGGTTCTTGGCCTTGGCCAGGCGCTCGGCCGTCAGGTAGCCGGGGTGGAAGGGCGTTGTGATGATGACCTCGGCGTCGACGAGCTCCTTGTCAAAGGTCGAGTTCTCGCCCTCCTTGTCCGAGGTCGTCACGAGCGTGTGGCCCTGGTCCTCGAGCCACTTGCGAATGCCGAGCTCGTTCTCGGTGGTGCCCAGAAGGCCAGGAACCTAGGTACGTCAGCCATGCATCAGGTATGACGGATCGCCGGGATTGTGGAGTGCGTGGTGAGCATTAGGGGGGGGGCGCGAGAGGGAAGGGTGGACGCCAAGAGAGAGAGAGAAAGGCTCGCCCATGCACCCCGCACTCAGGTTCCTCAAGACGCGGGGCCATGAGCTCAGGGTGACGGGGCCGGGGCAGGGGCATGGTACACGGCTCGCATCAGCGCTTGCAGTAGTCTGCAGCGGCATTGCAGCTAGCTGGAGAAGGACATGCCGACCTATCTCCAGCTGCTCTGATCTGATCGGCTGGTACCCCACACACCACACCACCCGCTGCTTTCATCTCTTCGTACCAGTGATCTCATGTGTGGGGTTTGTTTTTTATGTGTGATTGCTTCTGGATTGAGGAAATCGAGACAGCTTGGGGAAACTCACGTCTTTGGCGTGCTGGCCGCCATCGTAGAGGACGAGCAGAACCTTGACCTTTTCGCGGACCGATGTTAGCGTTCGAACTGAAGCGGGCGTTCTTGAGGGCGGCGACGTTGCGAGGCAGGCTGAGCGGAGCTGGGCAGCTCGACCGTGAACCGTCACAGCGGCGCCTGCAGCTCGTGGGAGGGAGGTTCGCGGGAGGGAGGACAAGGCAGCGGTATGAAGGCCGCGAGAGG